CACGAATACAGTGATGAGTATGTGAGTTTGTCATGGTTACGGGCGCGATTCTCCAATGTTTCAGACACAGATTCAGAGTAGAAGTGTTGGCTTTTCGCGGTCTCCCTTTGGTCTTCAACTTCTCTTTTGGTTCAGTAAATGCAGTAGAACCAGGGTTCATTAACTCCTCCAGTGTCATGTGGACTTGTTTCTTCTTCTCACCATCTTGTTGTTCATACCACATATTGAATCTTTGTAGTTGTGACCTTCCTGGTGAAGTTGTGCCATGATTACTGTTTCCTATATTGATGAGGTCTAATTTCCTCCAATGTGAATGCACGACATCAAGTGGTATTGGTACACCACGCTCTCTATACTCCGCAATTTCATGTGCACATGGTAATTGGTGGGTTCGACGAATAGCACAACCACATGATAAAGCATCCACCCCATCTATCTCTAACCTGATTGCAAAAAAGTACAATGTTAACTCTGTAAACCATATATGTACATGCAATAAGTAAACTGAATTTACCTTTCTAACTCGCACACAATTACACTCAAAGCCTTTATAGAAACAAAACCTACTAACTCTCTCAACTCCGGATGCCTGAACCTATGTTGAATAAAACATCGACTCTTTTCAAAAGATGCCTTAATCTCTGTGTGCTCCAGCTCTAACAATGAGTGTATAGTTACCCATGATCTCTCAAAGTTAAGTTGGCTTGAGCGGAGCTGTCGCTTCAACTTTGCATGTGCACTTTCCGCTCTGTTGATAACAATAATAAATTTTCCTGAAGCAAAATAAATTTTCAAATTAACATATCAAAAGTTGACTAAAATACTTACCTATTTGAGGTCGTCGATCCAAGATGCATACAAGTGTCTGTCCATGCGGCCACAAACCTATCCTTAAATGGATTTAACCAATTTTCATGTATGTATTCAAGAGCTTTTTGAAATTCACTAAACTTAGACTCAATCTGTCGCAAACAACGCCAATATTCCTCCTCCGTTTCTGAACCAACCAAAGTATTCCAATCCTCATTAAATTGCTTCCATTGTTTGAGGGTCCCAAATAACTTCTTGCAGTTTGCCAACACTCCTTTGTTAATATGCCATCTACATAATAAATGTCGTGCTTTTGGAAATATAGACGTAATAGAATTCAAGAGTGCTAACTCTCGATCGGTGACAATAACACCAGGAAGACAATTATCATCCAACAAACTCCTCAACGCAGTCAATGCCCATGTGTAATTGTCTTCCTTCTCAGCATTCATATACACATACGCAACAGAGAATGTCATATTAGTAGATGTCACCCCCACAATTTGCAATAGTGGGAAACGATACCTATTAGTCTTATAGGTGCAATCCATGATAAGTACATGTGGAAATGCGCGCAAAATATCAATATTAATGGGGTGTGTCCAAAACAGGTCAGTTATAATATCCCCAGATGTCCTATGCCACTCAATATAATTTTGTTCGGATAACTTAGTAAGCAATTGTTGCATTTGGGTTCTCCCAGCAAATTCTTTGGTTCTATTTCGGATCCTAGCATTGTATATTGTCTTCATAGTTGAAACATTCATTGCATCTCTATCTTTAATGGTGACCAAAATATCTCTGGGTTTCACCAAACTCTTAGACATGTCCACCAACAAGGCATTCTCCTCTTCAGTAAGTCGCCCCACAAATGAATGACCTTGAAGATACTCTGAAATAGGATGGTTGTGTACTCCACAAACCACCTCCAACTTCCAATCATCCCCATCACCAATATTGACACCTTTTAACAAGAATGGGCATCCACATTTCTTGGTACCAGTGTCTCTAGCACATTTTTTCATATCACTATTTGCATCCGATCTTATATCAGTTGTCTCACTAGACTTGCAAGACTTATAGTTACCGTTCCTCTCACAAGCAAGTATTACACGAGGTCTCCTCTTGCCCTCACCTCCATAATCAGACCTTTTAATTACAATGACAATATTATTCAATTTTCCTTGTTCACGAGCCCATCGAAGTAATGCATCTCTACCATTAAATATCTACACATAAAACTCATATTATTTAAATACAAAATTTGAAACATTAATGCCACGTTAATGATACTAAAAAGGATTTCAGATAAATAATTACCGAATAAGTTGTGAATTGATCACTATAGTCCATTACACATTCTGTTCCCACATTGTTGCCTTCAGTAGGGGCGTCACCTTGATTTTGTTCCTTCAATGGGAGTAAGATCAAAATAGCTTGGATTAAATTTGTGGTTGGCAATAAGTTACTGAAAAAATAAATAAATTTCGGTTGGATGCCACTGAAACGCGGGTAAAATTTCGGTAGTACCCCACTGAACTACGTTCCATCTTACGGTGGATCCCCACCGAATATTAAGTTTCTCACCGGTGAAATCCAACCGAAAAAGATGCAAAGTTTCGGTGGCATCCCACCGAAATTATCTGTCGCGTTCGGTACTGATGTGCTGAACACAACCAGCGACTGTTATGAAATATTAAACTTGCAAAACGCCAAAAAATAAACTCGTACCTCATTCGAAGCGTCTCTAACTTCAATCTCACCCTTCATGAATAAATACAATATATTTTTTCACCAGTATAAACTTATAAATCTTGGGTTTAGGGTTTAGGAACATGATAGTTTGAGAAAAAAGTCAAAACTAGGGTTGCAGGAACATATGTGGGGTGTAGTGAGCAATTTTAATTTTAATTTTAATTTTTTTTGTCCTTAACGGTAATTGTGTACAAGGGTAAAATAGGTTATTTATATTTAAAATTAGTATGGGGTGTAAAGAGTAATTTATGGGGTGCCAATAGAATCACCCTTTTCAAAAAGGCCAAAAACAAATAAAGTATTGCATTTGCATTGGGTTGGAAATAGGTTGGGCTTGGTGGGTATAGACCCAAACTACAAGGCCCAAAGCACTACAGAGCGAAGGAGCTAAATCAACTTCACCACTCGGTCTTCTTCTACACAAGGAAGGCGCTAACCCTCACCGCCGTCATCACAGGTAACAACTCCGTCGAAAAACATAGTTGAGGTCATCTCTCTCTCTCTCTCTCTCTCTCTCTCTCTCTTCCTTATTTTTTGAGTTTGTTTATCTGCTCCTTTTTCTTTTTCTATGCTCTCGTTTTTTTTATTGATTTAGTTATAGTTCGTCCGTTGCGGGTAAATATTGAATATAACACGGAAAAAACTGATTTTGGGTGAGATGAAGATGAAAAGGTGTCTTCTTGAGCAGATTGAGCTGAGGCAACGTCGGGCTTTGTTTCCTTCCACCTTTAGAGATTATACATCTTATTTTTTTTGCATTTGTTCCATTCTAGGAGTAAGTGAACTGCGATTAGGATAATTTAATAATTTTAGTGGGAAAACATTAGCTTTTTGAAACTGGGTACTAATCCAAGTTTGGGGAAATTCAGCTTAGTGGGCAATTTCTTTTTTTCTGTTGTACTTTAATATTTTGATGTTTATCTCTCTCTCTCTCTCTCTCTCTCTCGCCTAGTTTGTTCAGGTTTTGGGACTCTCTATTGTACTTTTTATTAAATCATTTATTGACTTGTAGTGAATTGGGTTCTACGAGGAAAAAACCAAAAACAAATTTTTGTTTTTGTTTTTTTGTAGTGAATATTTGCAATGCTTCCCTTTTGTTATTGTTTCAGTATTGTTTTTATTAGCATCTACCATTTTTCAGGCGTAATACATTATAAGTATAAAAAAAATTTCGAGTTTACTTGATACGTATAAATATGATGGGTAATTGTACTGTGGTATTTCCCATTTGCCTTTACCAGTTTAGTCAACATAAACATGGCAGTAATCTTTCTTTTGTTTATGAGTTTTGTATAAATAGGAATTTTATTTATCTGGGTTATTAAATAGGCTGGGCTTCTTGCCAAGATAGCTGAACAAATGAGCTTTTTTTGCCTTCAGTAACAAATACAACTGTACACATAATTATGCTTGAGCCATTCCCTTTTTCACAAGCATGTCGTAAACCCTATCAACTTTGCATGGTTCAACCTTGAACAGACTATGGGCATCAGATTTCTTCTTAACATTGCCATTCGGAATTTCTGTGGAGATGGTCTGCAGCATGTTCAAATAATTTGAAGGAGGATTCTCATCTCACTGCAAAGTCTTTGTTTCTGCATGTATTAAAAAAACATATCAACAAACAGAATTTGCTTTCTTCGCTAAAGCATTAGACTCTGAGATTGGCATTCTTACGGTTTGGGAGAGTAAATCGGCCCTGACTAGCCCAGTGATATCACAATAGCCCAAGGAGCTGGAAATAGCTTGCGTAGTTAAGAATGAGTTTCTTGCTAACAAGATGCCCTGTGGATTCCTTAAAGGGTCCCCGAGGACTGATCTGCAAGCCTTTACCACTTAGACTAGCCTGAGAGCTTTCTCTTTTTTTTTTTTTTTTTTTTTTTTTTTTTTTTTTTTTTTTTTTTTTTTTTTTTTTTTTTTTTTTTTTTTTTTTTTTTTTTTTTTTTTTTTTTTTTTTTTTTTTTTTTTTTTTTTTTTTTTTTTTTTTTTTTTTTTTTTTTTTTTTTTTTTTTTTTTTTTTTTTTTTTTTTTTTTTTTTTTTTTTTTTTTTTTTTTTTTTTTTTTTTTTTTTTTTTTTTTTTTTTTTTTTTTTTTTTTTTTTTTTTTTTTTTTTTTTTTTTTTTTTTTTTTTTTTTTTTTTTTTTTTTTTTTTTTTTTTTTTTTTTTTTTTTTTTTTTTTTTTTTTTTTTTTTTTTTTTTTTTTTTTTTTTTTTTTTTTTTTTTTTTTTTTTTTTTTTTTTTTTTTTTTTTGTTGATATGTGAGCATTCACAGTGACTGCCTTTGCTTAGACTTAATTGTTCACCTTGATTTAGCACACTGTAGAATGTAGATTTTCTCTTTGCTAAGTGTTAATTTTTTTATTTTTCTTCTGTTGTCTCCTGATATCTATTAAGTTAGTTGTATCATAAACGTTTTTCATATTACATGTTCAGAAATGGTGGGACTATCCATAGGAGAAAAGCATTTTATACAGGGTGGCATTGCTCAGGATCTTCGATCTGATGGCCGAAAAAGATTGACAACTCGGCCCATCTATGTTGAAACTGAGAGTCATTTCCCTAAGAATGTTAATGTTCTGTCATATGTTTCTTTTAAAAGGAAAGTTTGTTTTTTTTTTGTTTTGCCTAAACCAGGTTTTGAATTTTCAAGTATAGATTTTCCTGGGTGACGTGAAATTTTACTTACCTTGTTATAATCCCTGTTTTTGATGGCGTCCATGCAGGCAAATGGTTCAGCAAGGGTCAGGATGGGTGCCACAGATGTCATTGCCAGTGTGAAGGTATCATTTAGTCTTGGTCTTAAGCTCATACTAGTGCTTTTAGAATGTTATGACTAAATTTACGTTGTTTGTTAGTCTAATTATTTGAATAGCACCTGCTGTTCTTAATATCATATTTTCTGGTAAATTTGAATGAGTGCAGGCAGAACTTGGAAGGCCGAATGCGTTGCAACCTGACAAAGGAAAGGTCGTTGTGAATGTTGATTGCAGTCCCACTGCAGCACCAATGTTTGAGGTTAACAAGTATTATCCGCTTCCTTCTCATGTTTTACTTTGTCAATTGACGCTTACATCTTGGTTTCTGCAAGATCCTGTAGAAAGTACAACTATTGATTTAGTGGAATTCATGCTCTGATAAAATACGAAGGAACTAAATATCGAATTCTGCCCATTTTTTGTCTATTCTTCTAATCCTATTAGGCAATCTGAACTTTTCTTGTTGGTGTACATTGCAAAGGTTGAATGTCTATTTTTCCTTTGTAGGACCTATGTGTTTATTCTTTTTGTAATGCTGTTGTTTTCTTACATTTCTACAGGGTAGAGGGGGTGAGGAGCTGTCAGCAGAACTCGCAGTTGCTCTTCAACGTTGTCTCTTGGGCGGTAAAAGTGGATCTGGTCTGTATTCTTATTGAAGAGCTTAGCATAATAAATTTGTTGTGACATTTATGTATTATCTCTTTTGGCAATACATATTTCTCAGTTGTACATGCATTTTCATATAACTGCAAAGTCGATAATATATATAGATGTCTTTGTTTGTCCCAGGTGCTGGAATTGATCTCTCCTCTCTGGTAGTTGTGGAAGGAAAGATCTGTTGGGATCTTTACATCGACGGCCTTGTTGTTAGTTCAGATGGGAATCTGCTAGATGCCCTAGGTGCTGCTATAAAGGTATTTGATAATTCTTATTTGTTTGACATGCTTAATTAATTTCTGTTCTGCAAATAAGGACAACTGAAGAGTTTTCTGGCTGTTGGTAAAGTTTAGTATTATGTGGCCAAAGAAAAGTCCAGTGGCATGACTTATCTTTTAAAGAAACTGATGTTCCCAAAGGCTGCTTTGAGCAATACAGGCATCCCAAAAGTAAATGTTGCAGCTGGTGCATCAGGCGATGAGCAACCAGAGGTTGACGTAAGCGATGAGGAATTTCTGCAATTTGACACATCTAGGGTCCCTGTCATAGTTACATTAACAAAGGTGACGTGATTTAACCATCTCTTCTGTCCGGCAAACTGCAAATGTTTATTGCCTTGTATTGATTCCTTCCCATCTGTTTCTCAGGTAGGCAGGCACTATATTGTAGATGCCACTTCAGAAGAGGAATCACAAATGTGCTTGGCTGTTTCTATTTCCATCAATAGGCAAGGCCGCATTTGTGGGTTGACAAAACGGGGAGGTGCCGGCCTAGATCCAAGCTTCATTCTTGACATGATATCTGTGGCAAAAACAGTAAGTGAGCAGCTGATAAACACATTGGATTCTCATATAGCTGCTGCTGAAGCTGGCGGAGAGGAGTCGTGACATAATTAGAACCTCTGATACATTTAAGTAGGTGGGTTCGTGTGGGTCCTGGGTATATGAAAATTGTAATGCTGATAATTTTACTTAAAGCTGATGAGAACGTTTGATTTGTCTTTTAACCAAAATTAGTATGGGTCTATTGCTTTGCTGATATTATTTTGCATTGATGCACTAATTAGACTTGCAATCTACCGCAGTTAAGTGCATTGATGTGCCTATAAAATGTTTGAATGTATTCACAGAGTATAGCCGCACGGCTATACTATTAAAATATTAGAATGTATTGAAAGAGTATCGCCGAGTGGCTATACTATTAAAATATTTAAATGTAATGCAAGGGTATAGCCGCGCGGCGGTACCATTAAAATATTCGAATGTATTCAAAGCGTATAGCCGATCGGCTATACTATTAAAATATTCGAATGTATTATAGAGTATAGCCGGGCGACTATACCATTAAAATATTCCAATATATTTAAAGAGTATAGCCGTACGGCGATAATATTAAACTATTATAATCAAAGCGTATAGCCGAGCGGCCGTACTATTAAATATTCGAATATATTTAACGTGTACAGTCGCACGCTATACCGTTAAATATTCGAATATTTATTTTATTTTATTTTGTTTCGAAAATATTTGAACAGTATTAGCAGCTTTTCTTTATTCCCCAGAATTTTGGGCTGCAAGCTTCTTTCGCAATCCCACCGACTCTTCCCCAGCATCACATATATGGGCAGAAGCTTGCCTGTCAGATAAAGTTGCCCCTTCCATGATGTCTATATAATCTTGTAAAAGGTACAGTCATTTAGAATTAACAACATTTAAACAATAAAGCATTCAATTTTCCAAAACATGCAACTAACTTAATTGCTAAAAGGCATAATTTTCTGAAACCCTCCTTTGCTTTCTGTGTTTGAGCAGGAACAGAATGATAGGCCTGAGTAAATCAGTCTTGTTTGTGATGAATTTTCTTTGATTTACCATTGGCTAAGAAGAACATGAATATTTTGTAATTATTTTTACATTGCGGAAGTATCCAGTTTCCTTGTTCTGAAATAGTATATATATATTTACAGAACCTTCACTTCAAAAAGAAAACGGTATATGCACTTAGGAAAAATAAGATAACATGCAGTCACCCCTAAAATCACAGAAATGCTCATTTTGAAATATGAAGATTTTATTATATATTCGAAGAAATCGGAGCTCATTTAAAAAGTACAAGGAAGATGATAAGGTTGCATTATTAGTCTCTCTGTCTGTCTTCTCTAGCATTGTAGTTTCTGGTTTTGTACAATGCAACTCTTTTCCCAACTCTGTCACATGATGATGGGCTAGAGTGAGAATCCTTGTGTTGTAATGTAACTGTACTTAATTTTACATTGCAGAAGATGTATCCTTGTTCTGAAATTAATAGATTTGTACAATCTTCACTTAAAAAAGGAAAAAGGCAGAGAAAATACTGCTCCAAATTGCATGGATAAACCATCACAACATCAAATACTTAGATCAAGTTATGATGATTATGCGTGCACAAATAGGAAAACTAATATGAACAGACATGCAGTCACCCCTAAGACCACAGAAATGCTCCAGCAAGTCTTCCAACACAAGCTCATCGGAGTATAAGAATTGGATGGTTTAATCTGCAGCTCAAATCACACTAAAGTCAGAAGTTTTTTTTTATTTTTTGAAATTATGTACCTGCACTTGACTTCTTGTTAATCAGCAAATAATCAGCATATTGTATTCTCATTTGGTCTATTGATATACGTTTATATTCCATCTTCTTTTGTATGATTCGTTTCCTTTGGATGATACGTCTTCTTTTGTATGATACGTTTCCATTATAGCCGCAAGGCTCAACTCTATAAACAGAAATTATAAACGTACAGCCGCACGGCTATACGTTCTAATTACATTCGAATATTTTAAACGTACAGCCGAACGGCTATACTCTTTAAATATATTCCAACGAACACGAAGCTTGCACTCGCAGAGGACGGAACTCTCTCTCGCAGTCACTGCTTCGTCCTCCAGGTTCAGCGCCGAAAAAAGACCCAATCCGCCTAGGCGTTTAGGGTTTAGGGAATAAGTCTAGCGTTTAGCGTTTAGTATTTAGATTTAGTTCTTTAATTTCGGTTTCTACGAAGGTCTTCTCTTAGTTGTCTTAGACCTATAATTTATTTTTAAGGTCATTGCTATATTCTGTCTCGCCTGCCTCTTTTTCTTGCAGGTATGCCATGTATGTTTTGTGTGCTGTGTTGGGGGTAACCTGAAGCACTGTAGAAAATGCCTTCAGTCCTATAATCTCCAATGCCTAGATAAGCCCCATAAGGAAAAGAACCAATTAAAACCGTTCCGACAAGTCTTGATGAGGTTCCTTCCCAAAGGGATGCATATGGGAATAAGTCTAGTGGCAAGAAAGTAGGCTCATCTTCAAATGCTAATGCTAGAGCATTGGTTGATGATAAAAAGATACACAATATGGTCTATGTCGATGATATCCTAGTTACTGGGAATTGCAACACTGCCTGCAGATCTCTTATTTCTCTTCTTAGTGCCAAGTTTCCTGTTAAAGATCTTGGTCCTTTACATTACTTTCTTGGGTTAGAAGTTCATCGATCTGGCAAGGGTATTTTTCTTTCTCAAACCAAATATGCCTGTGATCTCCTCAAGAAAACAGATTTTATTGGCTCCAGCCCCTGTTCTACTCCTCTTGGCTCTTACAAGTTGGATAACTCTGGTGACATTCTTGCTGATGCTACCTTTTATCGCTCTACTGTTGGAGCCCTTCAGTATCTCACTTGGACAAGGCCAGACCTCTCCTATGCAGTTAATCTAGTCTGCCAGCATTTACATCAGCCTCGCTCTAATCATTTGGGTGCTGTCAAACGAATTCTTCGTTATCTCAAGGGCACTCTTGATATGGGTGTTTGGTTTACCAAGGGTTCTCTTGTTCTGAAAATGATGTTTCCTTGTGTTCTTGAAAGATTTTGTAATTATTTTTACATTGCAGAAGCATCCAGTTTCCTTGTTCTGAAATAATATATATTTGCAGAATCTTCACTTCAAAAGAGAAAACGGTATATGCACTTGGGAAAACTAAGATAACACCCTAAAATCACAGAAATGCTCATTTTGAAATATGAAGATTTTATTATATATTTAAAAAGTACGAGGATGATAAGGTTGATCTCTCTGTCTGTCTTCTTTAGTGGCTCCAACAGCATTGTAGTTTCTGGTTTTGTACAATGCAACTCTTTTTTCCCAACTCTGTCAGTCACATGATGTTTTGCTAAAACAAGATCAATTGCATGTGACCAAGTCGAAAAAAAGGCAAAATGTTAGGAAGAGTACTTGAGGTTACTAAAAGGGCAGATACAGCCATGGCAGCAACGAGAACCAAAAGAAACTTCTGGGATTTAATTTTCTGATTCTCTCTTCCTTGAGAAACAATATTGGATGCATGGTAGGATTGAAGAACAATGGTGTACTTTATATAGATGTAGCGGGGAAGAAACCTTTGTTTCTAATGCATGAATGAATGGGATCCAATTTTCAAACTCATACCAATTATATCTTTCAAGTTTCTATAGATTTTAGTAACAAATCTAGTCTCCCGATGGTTGGATTTGTTTTTTTTCTTTTATTCTTACAAAGAAAACAAAAATCCCACCAAATCAAATACACTGAAGCTTCTAAGAATCAACAACTTAAATTGAGCTCTGAGCGATCTCTACCTCTCTCTCTCTAACAATTCGTATATATTTAAAGAATTCGAATATATTTAAAGAGTATTGCCGAGTGGCTATACTATTAAAATAATATAATTAAAAGGGTATAGCCGGTGGGCTATACTGTCGAACATTCGAATGTATTCAAACAGTATAGCCGCTCGGCTATACAATTAAATATTCGATTATATTAAAAGAGTATAGCCTGGCGGCGGTACTATTAAAATATTCGAATGTGTTAAAAAATGATGCGCTTTGATGAGAAAAGTGTAGCAACTTCTATTGTACAGAAATTGGTCGAATTGCAAGCCACTTTTATATTCAATGCTCAAGTGTTGAAACATAAAAATTCACTATTTAAATTACAGTTTCTGAGAGTGAATGCAGAAGCAGGACTCTTCTTGTTTGATTCTAGTTATCGCCGATGTAATAGTGAGCAGAATTTTACAGCCCGCGTATTGAAGTGTAGAATTTTACAGCCCGCGTTTGATTCTAGCCTAGCTACTACCTAGCCGCCTAGCCACCGCCTAGCCGCCTAGCCACCGCCTAGCCGCCGCCTAGCCACCGCCTAGCCGCCGCCTAGCCACCGCCTAGCCGCCCAGCCACCGCCTAGCAGCCCAGCCCCAGCCTAGCCGCCCGCCTAGGCCGACTTTTCGAACACTGCGATTGACTGAAAGTCTGAAACCCGAAATTGAAAAAATTTAGCTGCAAATTTGAGATTGGGAAGCCGAAGCAGTGAAGCACAAGTCAGGTCCATAGAAGAAGAGATCATGAGACTCTTAATTCATCTAATTCCATTCCTCTCCCTGTTTCCAGCCTTATATTCTTCTCTCTTCGCACTGACGACATGGCGCAGAAGAAAAAAATACAAAATTTGCTGACTTGGTGTCTGTCCTCTGTGGAAGGAAATGATGAAGTTGTCCTATCATGGAGTTTCTATGGTCTTGCCAATAACAAGGTTCGGTGAATGGCATGCGTTAGGCTACTTGAATTCAAATTGATTCTGAAGTTTAAACATTTCTGTGAATGGCATGCGTTTAGCTTCTCTTGCTTTGCTTATTCTTTAATATGCAAATGGCATTTTTGCTTGTATCTCACAGCCTGTGTTTTAGGTAGAGAATGTTAGTACTATTTTTGGTTGATGATAATAATGTTGGAGGGAGGTTAGTTTCTCAATTGGTGATAAATTCCGCTATAGTTACTGCTGATTTTGTAAGACAAAAATCATCATCATCAGCAGCAGCAGCATTTGAAAGAAAAAGCAGCTCTGAATGTGATGGTTGCTCGCCAAGATTGAATACATCAAACTTAGAAGACACTGATTCATTCTCTAGAAATAAGTTAGATAATTAGGTGGTGATTCAGCTTGGGTGAAACAAGTTGACCTCCCCATTGATTACTTTCTGCCGAAGGAAAAAAAGAAAAAGGATATGGATGAGTCTAATATACAAAGGAAATCACTGCCCGTGGAAAATAGCTGCTTATTGATAACCAAATTGAATAATTCTGTTTGTACTAATACCAGTTCTTATGAAGAAACTTCCCCTGAAAACTGCTCAGTAGATCATGAAGCAGATTTGAAGCACTCCAGAGAGGTATGTAATATGAAGCCTATCTTTTGTCAATTTGGAAATAATGTATCTGCCTATGAGCACAAACACAATCATGTGAAATGAGAAATAGAAAATACGATGCGACATGGGAAATACATTCTCATTTACATGTATTCTATAGTAATATGTATGTATAAAAACAAGGTCAGAATAGAAGGTACATAATTGTTAGTGCTTAGTTGCCCTCGAGTGGCTGACTGACTCCACTATTATGTGCATTCTTAACCTGATACTTCATTTCTGTATATGTAATTTGTAATCACCAATCTAATTTCTTTGCTACGGATCATTGATTTACTTTGTCAATTGAGGTTTACATCTTGGTTTCTGCAAGATCCTGTAGAAAGTGCAACTATTGATTTAGTGGAATTCATGCTCTGATAAAATACGAGGGAACTAAATATCGTATTCTGCCCATTTTTTGCCTATTCCTATAATCCTATTAGGCAATCTGAACTTTTCTTGTTTGTGTACATTGCAAAGGTTGAATGTCTATTTTTCCTTTGTAGGACCTATGTGTTTATTCTTTTTGTAATGCTGTTGTTTTGTTACATTTCTACAGGGTAGAGGGGGTGAGGAGCTGTCAGCCGAACTCTCGGTTGCCCTTCAACGTTGTCTCTTGGGCGGTGAAAGTGGATCTGGTCTGTATTCTTATTGAAGAGCTTAGCATAATAAATTTGTTGTGACATTTATGTATTATCTCTTTTGGCAATACATATTTTGGCAATACATATCTCTCCTCTCTGGTAGTTGTGGAAGGAAAGATCTGTTGGGATCTTTACATCAACGGCCTTGTTGTTAGTTCAGATGGGAATCTGCTAGATGCCCTAGGTACTGCTATAAAGGTATTTGATAATTCTTATTTGTTTGACATGCTTAATTAATTTCTGTTCTGCAAGAGTTTTCTGGCTGTTGGTAAAGTTTAGTATTATGTGGCCAAAGAATAGTCCAGTGGCGTGATTTATCTTTTAAAGAAACTGATGTTCCCAAAGGCTGCTTTGAGCAATACAGGCATCCCAAAAGTAAATGTTGCAGCTGGTGCATCAGGCGATGAGCAACCAGAGGTTGACGTAAGCGATGAGGAATTTCTGCAATTTGACACATCTAGGGTCCCTGTCATAGTTACATTAACAAAGGTGACATGATTTAACCATCTCTTCTGTCCTTCTGCAAGCTGCAAATGTTTATTGCCTTGTATTGATTCCTTCCCATCTGTTTCTCAGGTAGGCAGGCACTATATTGTAGATGCCACTTCAGAAGAGGAATCACAAATGTGCTTGGCTGTTTCTATTTCCATCAATAGGCAAGGCCACATTTGTGGGTTGACAAAATGGGGAGGTGCCGGCCTAGATCCAAGCATCATTCTTGACATGATATCTGTGGCAAAAACAGTAAGTGAGCAGCTGATAAACACATTGGATTCTCATATAGCTGCTGCTGAAGCTGGCGAAGAGGAGCCGTGACATATTTAGAACCTCTGATACATTTAAGTAGGTGGGTTCTAGTGGGTCCTAGGTATATGAAAATTGTAATGCTGATAATTTTACTTAAAGCTGATGAGAACGTTTGATTTGTTGTATGCGTATTTGGCACCTTTTAACCAAAATTAGTATGATTCTATTGCATTGCTGATATTATTTTGCATTGACGCACTAATTAATTCTTCAATTAGACTTACAATCCACCACAGTTATGTCGTATGGAACCATGTTTAAGGGCTTGTTTAAAACAAAGAGAGGATTGTTTACGTGAATTTATCTGGAACAAGCTCAAGTGCATGCCTCAAGAGAAAGGGAGTTAAATTAAGTACACCAATTAACAAAGGCCTCTTACAACTTGAGCAAAAATTCCTATCCAAAACAATGTACACCTTTACATGTTATTTCCGAATTTTCAGTTCTCTTCCACTACTCCAGAGGATATAATCTTTGCCGGGTCAAAACCTTGAGGGATAAGTCGTCTAGCTTCCATCTCGACGCATAACAATTTTTACATTTTCGCGTTTCCGCATCTGTATAGTCCTAGACATAAATCAGATAAGATGCTTGAATGAAGAGCAATGGATCTCTCAAACATTTCTTTCAAGACTTCGACTGCTCCATCAAAATCCCTGTTATTGCAGAAGTTAGATATCAGCATTTTAAAAGTATGCTCATCAGGATGATAACCACTCCTTATCATGCTTTTACATAACCCACCGATAAGTGAGTTAAAAGTAACCACATTCGGGTACAATCCATTCTTCAACATCAAGTTTTTGAATTTCAAAGCCGAACTCAAAAGACCCTTATCGCAGTGTCCTGCAATCAGTGTATTATATTATACAATTATAGTACTAAAACCCATGCTTTCCATCTTCTCAAGGACCTCAACAGCGTTCTCTAACTTTCCCAATTTACAATAAGCAGATATAACCATATTAAGAGTATAAACATTCGGTGAAATCCTACAACGCTGCATTTCTCTATAGAATACCAAAGCAATATCAGCTCTATGTAATCGAAGCAATGAGCTCAGATATGCATTGCAAGACTCTACTGTTGGGAAGAATCCATAATCCTTCATCTGACAAAAGGTGTTTGTGGCATTCCTAAATTTCTTCATATGAGCAAAAGTCTTGAAAAGAGAATAATAAACACGAGGAGAAGAATCACATAAGCGGTACGAAAACAGTATTGCTTCAAACAACTTCGAAGGCAAGTCTATCGAACCTGAGACAAGAATCTTTCTCAAAATAGACTCTGCAGATTTCAATCTCCGATATTTGGTGAGACTGTGGAGAATCATGGAGTGTGTTTCAAGGGTAAGTGAAGTGGGGTTTCGAGCTGCAACCCAATTGAAAAACTCAAGGGAAAGAACATAGACCTGCTTAATCTTTAAAGAGTATAGCCGAGGGGCTGTACCATTAAAATATTCAAATGTATTAAAGAGTATAGCCACTCGGCGATACTATTAAAATATTCCAATATATTAAAAGAGTATAGTCGTACGGCTATAATGTTAAACTATTATAATCAAAGAGTTTCGCTGCACGGCTGTACTATTAAATATTCAAATATATTTAACGTGTATAGCCGCACGCTATATATGAAAAGAGATAGCCGTCCGACTATACCATTCAAACAGTATTGGCAGCTTTTGTTTAATCCCCAGAATCTTGGGCTGCAAGCTTCTTTCGCAATCCCACCGACTCTTCCCCAGCATCACATATATGGGCAGAAGCTTGAGTGAGAATCCTTGTGTTGTAATGTAACTGTACTTAATTTTACATTGCAGAAGATGTATCCTTGTTCTGAAATTAATAGATTTGTACAATCTTCACTTAAAAAAGGAAAAAGGCAGAGAAAATACTGCTCCAAATTGCATGGATAAACCATCACAACATCAAATACTTAGATCAAGTTATGATGATTATGTGTGCACAAATAGGAAAACTAATATGAACAGACATGCAGTCACCCCTAAGACCACAGAAATGCCCCAGCAAGTCTTCCAACGCAAGCTCATCGGAGTATAAGAATTGGATGGTTTAATCTGCAGCTCAAATCACTGTTTAATCTGCAGCTCAAATCACACTAAAGTTTTTTTTTGTTTTTGGCCTGCACTTGACTTCTTGTTACAATATTGTCTCTGTCCAAAGACAAAAAAAGATATTAATATAAATTATAGGTGGAATTTGAAGATTATGGGTGGTTTATTATGAAAGAACTTACAAGAAGAGGTTTCAGCAGCTCTTGGTCATCTTTAGAGAACGAAAGCTTCACTTCATCTGCACCAATTTAAATAACAAGAAGAGTATACGAATGACGAACCAAATAATTATTGATATAACAAAAGGAGACTGCTGACACATAAAATTGACACAAATTCTGATAAATTAGAGGATTTTTCTTCAGATTGCTTCTTCACAGAATCTAACCATGCTTGAATGCTTCTTGAATGATAAATAGCTTTGACCAAATAGACTTAAATCAACCGTACTGGGGGTATGTCCACTGAAAGCACAGCTGATAGTCATCAAGCTGTTAATCTCTCCTTAGTTGATTTCAATGGAGTTTGGTGAACCTATTCCTCTATTATTATTTCGGATGTATCATAAATTGTTGCCTGATTGTTGCATGTGCTTGTGTTTCATGTAGGTTTTTGAGCTGACCTCAACACAAGGACCGGACGTGGGTCTTTATTTATTCAGAAAGGTGCCGCACCATAGAAAAGCAAAACTTTGTGTCTCCTCCTCCAGTTGCTATTCTACCTGCCGGAATAGGGAATGATCTGGCTAGAGTTTTCTACTAATCTTCTGCTTGATGATGTCTGGTTTGTAGATAATGCTTTAAAATTGAGAGAGGCAAGTGCATAGGGTTGCAAGACTAAGAAACAAACTGTGTTTGTTTAGTGCAGCGGCCAACAGCTTTATTTTTAAGCCATCAATATAGTTCTTAAGTCTCTTGAAGAATCATTCAGCTTTGTAAATTTCCAAGCTCCCTACCAAAGCATCACATCTTTCTCAATGTACTAAAAACACTTCCAATAACAGTTTGTACTGTCCTGGCGGAAGTGGCCCTAATAGACATTATCTAATAATGAAAACAAAGGCATCGGTAGAAGATTTGCTTGACAAGCAAAACAAAAATGATGTAATGTTACGTAACCTAGTAAGAGGATATCAGAATTTCGCATTTCTGATGTCTTGCACATGATAGGAATAAAACATCGTTGTGGACTAGTGAAGAATCATGTGTAGGAGGAGGAGTAGCCAAAACACCTCCTGATGGAAAATAAGCCTCTTCTAGCCAGCAATGACTCGGGTTTATCCAAAGATTTATTGTGAGGAAAGTGCCTATGAAAGGCATTCACTGCTCTTGTCACCTCATCTTGGCCATCCATGGCCTTGGAAATTTTCAACAGCACACTCTTTAACCTTTCAACCGAAAATAGTTATTTCTTTGTTAATTTAATCTATTCAGGTCCACGCAAGGGATTGAAATAACATAAAATAACCTCAGAGTTGTGACTAGTATTTGCATGTTGAAATTGATTACAAAACAATGTCAACTTCAATTAAATCAGCGTGTATGCATGTGTGATAAGTTTACAGTCAAGAAATGGAAAATTATATGTAAATCACTTGGAAGTTTAAAAAGAAAATGGTAAATACCTTTGGATCTAACATGAAGCTTATGGCATCGACCAACTTTTCAAGGGAGAATTCATCAGCTGGAATGGGTGCAGGACCTACTCCTCTGGCATGCACCCTCTCCCCCCAAAATAGCTGGTCCCCAAAGAATGGTACAATTGTGGTTGGACACTAAAAAGAACAGAGAATATGAGCCAAATGAGTAACTGAATCATTTACAAATTTAAGACTCCCCAAGAATATAACATTATCAGTTACCGCAGCTTTCAGACCAGCTGCAGTTGTCCCAGCAACCCCATGATGCACCTAAGAATTTTTTTCAAATCCAGTAAGAAACCAGGAGTAGCCTAGTTATCCAATAAGGGAACAAAACAACAAAACGACAAAAAGGTGCATCAAGTTGATGTGACGTTCTGAACACCAGTGCAGTGAAATCCCAACCAAATTAAAAATAATTAAAAGCATTGAAATTTACCACAGCAGAGCATCGTTGGAATAGCCAATCATGGGGGCAATTGTCCACTAAATACACAGAATCACTTGGTTCTGCCACTGAGAAGAGAAATATATGAAGGCTTTCAGATGTAAAGAAGCATAAGAATACAATGTGCTTGAAAGTAATCTATTTTTAAGATCCAAGGCCACCCCAGCCTCGGATGATGACGCCTCTCTGTCCAGTTATTTCCAGAGCTTGAAGAATAATATTGGTCATTTTCTCTGGTTCTTCAAGAGGCTAATAAAATACACATAAAAAAAAATTTAGCAAGCAAGACAATTTACCATTTCAATCAAATGCACAATCAAGTAACCTTAACTATGCAATTCAGAGGTATACTCTGCATGTGTTAGACATGCCTCAGTCAAATTAGATATTGAACAACCGAAGAACCAAAGGGTCGATTTGCCATCTGTCATGAATAGACCTCCACGGCCTGTTCGTTGGGGACCAACATGAAGGTGGTCACTCTTTGGAGATTGTGGCTTTGGTTGATTGTTTTAATTGGGAAGGAACAAGTAATTTTTTTAGGGTAAGGACAAATAGAGCTACTCTGGGATAGAACCGGGAAAAGAATATTAAACATGAATAGAGAAAGCTGCAACAAACTCACAAGGCTATCAAATCCAATATAGACAGGCTGTTCACCAGCTTCAAGCCACTCCGCAAGTGAATCTGGGGCTTCATAATTTGAAGCAAGGTCAAGAAAACAAAAAAAACAACATCAACCTTCGGTCCCCAATCTGACAAACAAGTAAAACGTAGAGCATATCAGCAAGTAATCAGCATACTGTATTCTCATTTGGTCAAGCTGGTCTATTTCTAACACATCAAATCATATTCCTGAGGCTTCTGCAACATTATCAGTGTGGGAGCAAAAATTAAGGCCCAAGTAACAAGCCACTTCCCATGAACCCTAAATTTAGGGAGTGGAAGGAATCAAATAACATGATATCCACTACCATTGAGCATGGAAATAGGTTACTATTAAGCAGAGTAGTTAAGAATACGATCATCCGAAATTATACTAGCAATGTGAGTGGCAATTGGGAAATGTGTGAACTTATTGGGAGAGTTTTTGAAGTTCCTTAAGGTGTCAGGTAAATGGATTATAAGACCATGTGGGTATAATTTGAAAGGGATGCGATATTAAATATAATCTGAAAGGATAAAATCTTTTTTTGACATTTAAATTCATATAGAGCAACCACCAATGTGGTTTATCATAGCAAGATGAACTAGTTTCAATTTTTTTATAATTCTTCAATGTCAATCATGTAAGGAGTGTTATGCTCTGCTTTCACTATTTACCACTTATTACATGTTGAACAGGTTGAAATTGCTCGCAAGTTTGAAGGACTGGAGCATTTTAAGAATGATGAACACCCACAGTTTTCGTTGATCCAGGCAGAAAAACAGATGAAGAAAGAATAATTTATTTCCTGGATCTTATTATTAGTATCACACCTTTTATTTATTTTAATACATGCACAAATAGATATTATAACAGTATAGCCGCGCAGCAATACTCTCTAAATACAATATATTAACAGTATAGCCGATCAGCTTTAAATACAATATTTTACCATTATAGCCGCAAGGCTCGACTGAATAAATAGAAATTATAAACGTACAGCCGAACGGCTATACTTTCTAATTACATTCGAATATTTTAGAGTACGGCCGTTCGGCTATACTCTTTCAATATATTCAAACGAACACGAAGCTTGCACTCGCAGCGGACGGAACTTTCTATCGCAGTCACTGCTTCGTCCTCCGGGTTCGGCACCGAAAAAAGACCAACCCTCCTAGGCACCCGCCAAGCTACTACCTAGCCGCCTGGCCACCGCTTAGCCGCCTAGCCACCGCCTAGCGCCCGCCTAGCCGCCTAGCCACCGCCTAGCCGCCTAGCGCCCGCCTGGCGACCGCCTAGCCGCCTAGCGCCCGCCTGGCGACCGCCTAGCCGCCTAGCGCCCTCCTAGCCACTGCCTAGCCGCCTAGCGCCTGCCTAGCCACCGCCTAGTCACCGCCTAGTAGCCTAGCGCCAGCCTAGCCACTGCCTAGCTGCCCGCCTAGGCCGACTTTTCGAACACTGCGATTGACTGGAAGTCTGAAACCCGAAATTGAAAAAATTTAGCTGCAAATTTGAGATTGGGAAGCCGAAGCAATGAAGCACAAGTCAGATCCTGAGACTCTTAATTCATCTAATTCCATTCCTCTCCCTGTTTCGCGCCTTATATTCTTCTCTCTTCACACTGAGAAAAAAATACAAAATTTGCTGACTTGGTCTCCGTCTTCTGTGGAAGGAAATGATGAAGTTGTCCTATCATGGAGTTTCTTTGGTCTTGCCAATAACAAGGTTCTGTGAATGGCATGCGTTTAGCTTCTTTTGCTATGGTTATTCTTTAATACGCAAATGGCATTTATGCTTGTACCTCACTGCCTGTGTTTTAGGTGGAGAATGTTAGTACAATTTTTGTTTGCCGCATTCCTCGTAATAGTGATTCACTATTTCAGAGTAGTCGAAATCCGTCTTTTGCCCTTCAGCTATCATTGTGTTGCTACTCATAACTGTATTAACTATATGAGTCATGACTTGCTGTTTAGTTAATTGGATATTCTTCCTTAACATAGGCAGGTTTTTCTGTGTTGAAATGAGACTGAACATAGTGGAATAAATACAAATTTCATGTGAAAAATGCGGTCCAAGTGTTTGGAATTGCAGCAAGATTTCTTTTTGAAAGCTTAAATGTCAGGAAGCAAGTGTTGCTAACGTATAAGCGAAAGCGGCAATCAAGAACAGATCCTGTACATGAGTGCCGTAATTCACTTTTTGTTGCCCCCGATGATACTTCTTTACGCAAACCACCAGACTTGCAAGTTCATTTGATTGATAAGCGTTCATCAGAAAATTACAACAGAAATTCTGCGGTGAGATTTTAGAAAGTTGGAACCTGTTCACTTTTTTAGTTTGTTTCATAGGGATATATGTTGTATGTCAATCATCTTTATGTAGATAATTTAATAATCCATCCTTCCCAATTTTTCCTCTAATAATTTCGTTCTTGAAAAAAATACTGAAAAGAAAAAGGTTTTTTAAGGGATTACCAGATACCACCAAAATGTGCCCTATTCAACCGACCCTTGAAAGCGTATCTAGTATTTAGATTTAGTTCTTTAATTTCGGTTTCTACGAAGGTCTTCTCTTAGTTGTCTTAGACCTATAATTTATTTTTAAGGTCATTGCTATATTCTGTCTCGCCTGCCTCTTTTTCTTGCAGGTATGCCATGTATGTTTTGTGTGCTGTGTTGGGGGTAACCTGAAGCACTGTAGAAAATGCCTTCAGTCCTATAATCTCCAATGCCTAGATAAGCCCCATAAGGAAAAGAACCAATTAAAACCGTTCCGACAAGTCTTGATGAGGTTCCTTCCCAAAGGGATGCATATGGGAATAAGTCTAGTGGCAAGAAAGTAGGCTCATCTTCAAATGCTAATGCTGGAGCATTGGTTGATGATAAAAAGATACACAATATGGTCTATGTCGATGATATCCTAGTTACTAGGAATTGCAACACTGCCTGCAGATCTCTTATTTCTCTTCTTAGTGCCAAGTTTCCTGTTAAAGATCTTGGTCCTTTACATTACTTTCTTGGGTTAGAAGTTCATCGATCTGGCAAGGGTATTTTTCTTTCTCAAACCAAATATGCCTGTGATCTCCTCAAGAAAACAGATTTTATTGGCTCCAGCCCCTGTTCTACTCCTCTTGGCTCTTACAAGTTGGATAACTCTGGTGACATTCTTGCTGATGCTACCTTTTATCGCTCTACTGTTGGAGCCCTTCAGTATCTCACTTGGACAAGGCCAGACCTCTCCTATGCAGTTAATCTAGTCTGCCAGCATTTACATCAGCCTCGCTCTAATCATTTGGGTGCTGTCAAACGAATTCTTCGTTATCTCAAGGGCACTCTTGATATGGGTGTTTGGTTTACCAAGGGTTCTCTTGTTCTGAAAATGATGTTTCCTTGTGTTCTTGAAAGATTTTGTAATTATTTTACATTGCAGAAGCATCCAGTTTCCTTGTTCTGAAATAATATATATTTGCAGAATCTTCACTTCAAAGAGAAAACGGTATATGCACTTGGGAAAACTAAGATAACACCCTGAAATCACAGAAATGCTCATTTTGAAATATGAAGATTTTATTATATATTTAAAAAGTACGAGGATGATAAGGTTGATCTCTCTGTCTGTCTTCTTTAGTGGCTCCAACAGCATTGTAGTTTCTGGTTTTGTACAATGCAACTCTTTTTTCCCAACTCTGTCAGTCACATGATGTTTTGCTAAAACAAGATCAATTGCATGTGACCAAGTCGAAAAAAAGGCAAAATGTTAGGAAGAGTACTTGAGGTTACTAAAAGGGCAGATACAGCCATGGCAGCAACGAGAACCAAAAGAAACTTCTGGGATTTCATTTTCTGATTCTCTCTTCCTTGAGAAACAATATTGGATGCATGGTAGGATTGAAGAACAATGGTGTACTTTATATAGATGTAGCCGGGAAGAAACCTTTGTTTCTAATGCATGAATGAATGGGATCCAATTTTCAAACTCATACCAATTATATCTTTCAAGTTTCTATAGATTTTAGTAACAAATCTAGTCTCCCGATGGTTGGATTTGTTTTTTGTCTTCTATTCTTACAAACAAAACAAAAATCCCACCAAATCAAATACACTGAAGCTTCTAAGAATCAACAACTTAAATTGAGCTCTGAGCGATCTCTACCTCTCTCTCTAACAATTCGTATATATTTAAAGAATTCGAATATATTTAAAGAGTATTGCCGAGCGGCTATACTATTAAAATAAATATAATTAAAGGGTATAGCCGGTGGGCTATACTGTCGAACATTCGAATGTATTCAAACAGTATAGCCGCTCGGCTATACAATTTAAATATTCGATTATATTAAAAGAGTATAGCCTGGCGGCGGTACTATTAAAATATTCGAATGTATTCGAATGATTATTTAACCGATTGATATTTTTTCTGCCAGTTGTTGACTCACTCAGGCAAGATTAACAAGCAATGGTATTCCTTCATTCTCGAAAGGACACAGCAACAACAGCTTAGAAATTGATATACGTTTATATTAAATCTTCTTTTGTATGATTCGTTTCCTTTGGATGATACGTCTTCCTTTGTACGTTTGTATTATAGCCGCAAGGCTCAACTCTATAAACAGAAATTATAAACGTACAGCCGCACGGCTATACATTCTAATTACATTCGAATATTTTAAACGTACAGCCGAACGGCTATACTCTTTAAATATATTCGAACGAACACGAAGCTTGCTCTCGCAGAGGACGGAACTCTCTCTCGCAGTCACTGCTTCGTCCTCCGGGTTCAGCACCGAAAAAAGACCCAACCCGCCTAGGCGCCCGCCTAGCTACTACCCAGCCGCCTAGCGCCCGCCTAGCGCCGCCTAGCCACCGCCTAGCGCTGCCTAGCCGCCTAGCGACCGCCTAGCCGCCTAGCCGCCTAGCGACCGCCTAGCGCCTAGCCGCCTAGCGCCCGCCTGGCGACCGCCTAGCCGCCTAGCGCCCTCCTAGCCACTGCCTAGCCGCCTAGCGCCTGCCTAGCCACCGCCTAGTCACCGCCTAGTAACCTAGCGCCAGCCTAGCCGCCTAGCTGCCCGCCTAGGCCGACTTTCGAACACTGCGATTGACTGAAAGTGAAATTGAAAAAATTTAGCTGCAAATTTGAGATTGGGAAGCCGAAGCAGTGAAGCACAAGTCGGGTCCATAGAAGAAGAGATCCTGAGACTCTTAATTCATCTAATTCCATTCCTCTCCCCGTTTCGAGCCTTATATTCTTCTCGCTTCGCACTGACGACATGGCGCAGAAGAAAAAAATACAAAATTTGCTGACTTGGTGTCTGTCCTCTGTGGAAGGAAATGATGAAGTTGTCCTATCATGGATAAACCATCATTACATCAAATACTTATATCAAGTGATGATGATTATGCGTGCACAAATTGGAAAACTATATGAACAGACATGCAGTCACCCCTAAGACCACAGAAATGCCCCAGCAAGTCTTCCAACGCAAGCTCATCGGAGTATAAGAATTGGATGGTTTAATCTGCAGCTCAAATCACACTAAAGTCAGAAGCTTTTTTTATTTTTTGAAATTATGTACCTGCACTTGACTTCTTGTTACAACTCCGTCCAAAGACCAAAAAAGATACTAATATAAGTTATAGGTGGAATTTGAAGATTATGGGTGGTTTATTATGAAAGAACTTACAAGAAGAGGTTTCAGCAGCTCTTGGTCATCTTTAGAGAACGAAAGCTTCACTTCATCTGCACTAATTTAAATAACAAGAAGAGTATACGAATGACGAACCAAATAATTATTGATATAACAAAAGGAGACTGCTGACACATAAAATTAACACAAATTCTGATAAATTAGAGGATTTTTCTTCAGATTGCTTCTTCACAGAATCTAAACATGCTTGAATGCTTCTTGAATGATAAATAGCTTTGACCAAATAGACTTAAATCAACCGTACTGGGGGTATGTCCACTGAAAGCACAGCTGATAGTCATCAAGCTGTTAATCTCTCCTTAGTTGATTTCAATGGAGTTTGGTGAACCTATTCCTCTATTATTATTTCGGATGTATCATAAATTGTTGCTTGATTGTTGCATGTGCTTGTGTTTCATGTGGGTTTTTAAGCTGACCTCAACACAAGGACCGGAGGTGGGTCTTTATTTATTCAGAAAGGTGCCGCACCATAGAAAAGCAAAACTTTGTGTCTCCTCCTCCAGTTGCTATTCTACCTGCCGGAATAGGGAATGATCTGGCTAGAGTTTTCTACTAATCTTCTGCTTGATGATGTCTGGTTTGTAGATAATGCTTTAAAATTGAGAGAGGCAAGTGCATAGGGTTGCAAGACTAAGAAAGAAACTGTGTTTCTTTAGTGCAGCGGCCAACGGCTTTATTTTTAAGCCATCAATATAGTTCCTAAGTCTCTTGAAGAATCGTTCAGCTTTGTAAATTTCCAAGCTCCCTACCAAAGCATCACATCTTTCTCAATGTACTAAAAACACTTCCAATAACAGTTTTCACTGTCCTGGCGGAAGTGGCCCTAATAGACATTATCTAATAATGAAAACAAAGGCATCTGTAGAAGATTTGCTTGACGAGCAAAACAAAAACGATGTAATGTTAAGTAACCTAGTAAGAGGATATCAGAATTTCACATTTCTGATGTCTTGCACATGATAGGAATAAAACATCAATGTGGACTAGTGAAGAATCATGTGTAGGAGGAGGAGTAGCCAAAACACCTCCTGATGGAAAATAAGCCTCTTCTAGCCGGCAATGACTCGGGTTTATCCAAAGATTTATTGTGAGGAAAGTGCCTATGAAAGGCATTCACTGCTCTTGTCATCTTCGCCATCCTTGGCCTTGGCAATTTCAACAGCACACTCTTTAACCTTTCAACCGAAAATAGTTATTTCTTTGTTAATTTAATCTATTCAGGTCCACGCAAGGGATTGAAATAACATAAAATAACCCCAGAGTTGTAACAAGTATTTGCATGTTGAAATTGATCACAAAACAATGTCAACTTCAATTAAATCAGCGCGTACAACCCCTTGACAGAATGGTATAGTACAGCCGCACAACGATACTCTTTGATTATAATAGTTTAACATTATAGCCGTACGACTATACTCTTTTAATATATTGGAATATTTTAATAGTATTGCCGCGTGGCTATACTCTTTAATACATTCGAATATTTTAATGGTACAGCCGCCCGGCTATACTCTTTCAATACATTCGAATCTTTCAATGGTATAGCCGAACGGCTATATGCTTTAAATACATTCGAATATTTTAATGGTACAGCCGGCTATACTCTTTTAATACATTCTAATATTTTAATGGTACAGCCAGGCGGCTGTACTCTTTCAATCCATTCGAATATTTTAATGGTATTGCCGGCCGGCGATACTCGTCCAATACATTCGGCTATTTCAATAGTATAGCCGCCTGGTTATACTCCTTGAATACATTCTGATATTTTTATGGTACAGCCGAGCGGCTATACGCTTGCAATACATTCTACTATTTTAATGCGGGTATACTCTTTAAAGATTAAGCAGGTCTATGTTCTTTCCCTTGAGTTTTTCAATTGGGTTGCAGCTCGAAACCCCACTTCACTTACCCTTGAAACACACTCCATGATTCTCCACAGTCCCACCAAATATCGGAGATTCAAATCTGCAGAGTCTATTTTGAGAAAGATTCTTGTCTCAGGTTCGACAGACTTGCCTTTGAAGTTGTTTGAAGCAATATTGTTTTCGTACCGCTTATGTGATTCTTCTCCTCGTGTTTTTTATTCTCTTTTCAAGACTTTTGCTCATATAAAGAAATTTAGGAATGCCACAAACACCTTTTGTCAGATGAAGGATTATGGATTCTTCCCAACAGTAGAGTCTTGTAATGCATATCTGAGCTCATTGCTTCAATTACATAGAGCTGATATTGCTTTGGTATTCTATAGAGAAATGCAGCGTTGTAGGATTTCACCGAATGTTTATACTCTTAATATGGTTATATCTGCTTATTGTAAATTGGGAAAGTTAGAGAACGCTGTTGAGGTCCTTGAGAAGATGGAAAGCATGGGTTTTAGTCCTATAATTGTATCATATAATACACTGATTGCAGGACACTGCGATAAGGGTCTTCTGAGTTCGGCTTTGAAATTCAAAAACTTGATGTTGAAGAATGGATTGTACCCGAATGTGGTTACTTTTAACTCACTTATCGGTGGGTTATGTAAAAGCATGATAAGGAGTGGTTATCATCCTGATGAGCATACTTTTAAAAATGCTGATATCTAGCTTCTGCAATAACAGGGATTTTGATGGAGCAGTCGAAGTCTTGAAAGAAATGTTTGAGAGATCCATTGCTCTTGATTCAAGCATCTTATCTGATTTATGTCTAGGACTATACAGATGCGGAAACGAGAAAATGTTAAAATTGTTATGCGTTGAGATGGAAGCTAGACGACTTATCCCTCAAGGTTTTGACCCGGCAAAGATTATATCCTCTGGAGTAGTGGAAGAGAACTGAAAATTCGGAAATAACATGTAAAGGTGTACATTGTTTTCCTTGTACCTTTCAAAGAAAAGGTTCTACATTGTTTTGGATAGGGATTTTTGCTCAAGTTGTAAGAGGCCTTTGTTAATTGGTGTACTTAATTTAACTCCCTTTCTCTTGAGGCATGCACTTGAGCTTGTTCCAGATAAATTCACGTAAACAATCCTCTCTTTGTTTTAAACAAGCCCTTAAACATGGTTCCATACGACATAACTGTGGTAGATTGTAAGTCTAATTGAAGAATTAATTAGTGCATCAATGCAAAATAATATCAGCAATGCAATAGACCCATACTAATTTTGGTTAAAAGGTGCCAAATACGCATACAACAAATCAAACGTTCTCATCAGCTTTAAGTAAAATTATCAGCATTACAATTTTCATATACCTAGGACCCACTAGAACCCACCTACTTAAATGTATCAGAGGTTCTAAATATGTCACGACTCCTCTTCGCCAGCTTCAGCAGCAGCTATATGAGAATCCAATGTGTTTATCAGCTGCTCACTTACTGTTTTTGCCACAGATATCATGTCAAGAATGATGCTTGGATCTAGGCCGGCACCTCCCCGTTTTGTCAACCCACAAATGCGGCCTTGCCTATTGATGGAAATAGAAACAGCCAAGCACATTTGTGATTCCTCTTCTGAAGTGGCTTCTACAATATAGTGCCTGCCTACCTGAGAAACAGATGGGAAGGAATCAATACAAGGCAATAAACATTTGCAGCTTGCAGAAGGACAGAAGAGATGGTTAAATCATGTCACCTTTGTTAATGTAACTATGACAGGGACCCTAGATGTGTCAAATTGCAGAAATTCCTCATCGCTTACGTCAACCTCTGGTTGCTCATCGCCTGATGCACCAGCTGCAACATTTACTTTTGGGATGCCTGTATTGCTCAAAGCAGCCTTTGGGAACATCAGTTTCTTTAAAAGATAAGTCATGCCACTGGACTTTTCTTTGGCCACATAATACTAAACTTTACCAACAGCCAGAAAACTCTTGCAGAACAGAAATTAATTAAGCATGTCAAACAAATAAGAATTATCAAATACCTTTATAGCAGTACCTGGGGCATCTAGCAGATTCCCATCTGAACTAACAAAAAGGCCGTTGATGTAAAGATCCCAACAGATCTTTCCTTCCACAACTACCAGAGAGGAGAGATCAATTCCAGCACCTGGGACAAACAAAGACATCTATATATATTATCGACTTTGCAGTTATATGAAAATGCATGTACAACTGAGAAATATGTATTGCCAAAAGAGATAATACATAAATGTCACAACAAATTTATTATGCTAAGCTCTTCAATAAGAATACAGACCAGATCCACTTTTACCGCCCAAGAGACAACGTTGAAGAGCAACCGAGATTTCACCTGACAGCTCCTCACCCCCTCTACCCTGTAGAAATGTAACAAAACAACAGCATTACAAAAAGAATAAACACATAGGTCCTACAAAGGAAAAATAGACATTCAACCTTTGCAATGTACACAAACAAGAAAAGTTCAGATTGCCTAATAGGATTATAAGAATAGACAAAAAAATGGGCAGAATACGATATTTAGTTCCCTCGTATTTTATCAGAGCATGAATTCCACTAAATCAATAGTTGCACTTTCTACAGGATCTTGCAGAAACCAAGATGTAAACCTCAATTGACAAAGTAAATCAATGATCCGTAGCAAAGAAATTAGATTGGTGATTACAAATTACATATACAGAAATGAAGTATCAGGTTAAGAATGCACATAATAGTGGAGTCAGTCAGCCACTCGAGGGCAACTAAGCACTAACAATTATGTACCTTCTATTCTGACCTTGTTTTTATACATACATATTACTATAGAATACATGTAAATGAGAATGTATTTCCCATGTCGCATCTTATTTTCTATTTCTCATTTCACATGATTGTGTTTGTGCTCATAGGCAGATACATTATTTCCAAATTGACAAAAGATAGGCTTCATATTACATACCTCTCTGGAGTTCTTCAAATCTGCTTCATGATCTACTGAGCAGTTTTCAGGGGAAGTTTCTTCATAAGAACTGGTATTAGTACAAACAGAATTATTCAATTTGGTTATCAATGAGCAGCTATTTTCCACGGGCAGTGATTTCCTTTGTATATTAGACTCATCCATATCCTTTTTTCTTTTATTCCTTCGGCAGAAAGTAATCAATGGGGAGGTCAACTTGTTTCACGCAAGCTGAATCACCACCTAATTATCTAACTTATTTCTAGAGAATGAATCAGTGTCTTCTAAGTTTGATGTATTCAATCTTGGCGAGCAACCATCACATTCAGAGCTGCTTTTTCTTTCAAATGCTGCTGTTGCTGCGGATGATGATTTTTGTCTTACAAAATCAGCAGTAACTATAGCGGAATTCATCACCAATTGAGAAACTAAACTCCCTCCAACATTATTATCATCAACCAAAAATAGTACTAACATTCTCTACCTAAAACACAGGCAGTGAGGTACAAGCAAAAATGCCATTTGCATATTAAAGAATAAGCAAAGCAAGAGAAGCTAAACGCATGCCATTCACAGAAATGTTTAAACTTCAGAATCAATTTGAATTCAAGTAGCCTAACGCATGCCATTCACAGAACCTTGTTATTGGCAAGACCACAGAAACACCATGATAGGACAACTTCATCATTTCCTTCCACAGAGGACAGACACCAAGTCAGCAAATTTTGTATTTTTTTTTCTGCGCCATGTCGTCAGTGCGAAGCGAGAAGAATATAAGGCTCGAAACGGGGAGAGGAATGGAATTAGATGAATTAAGAGTCTCAGGATCTCTTCTTCTATGGACCCGACTTGTGCTTCACTGCTTCGGCTTCCCAATCTCAAATTTGCAGCTAAATTTTTTCAATTTCACTTTCAGTCAATCGCAGTGTTCGAAAAGTCGGCCTAGGCGGGCAGCTAGGCGGCTAGGCTGGCGCTAGGTTACTAGGCGGTGGCTAGGCAGGCGCTAGGCGGCTAGGCAGTGGCTAGGAGGGCGCTAGGCGGCTAGGCGGTCGCCAGGCGGGCGCTAGGCGGCTAGGCGGGCGCTAGGCGGTGGCTAGGCGGCTAGGCGGCTAAGCGGTGGCCAGGCGGCTAGGTAGGCGGCTAGGTAGCTTGGCGGGTGCCTAGGAGGGTTGGTCTTTTTTCGGTGCCGAACCCGGAGGATGAAGCAGTGACTGCGATAGAAAGTTCCGTCCGCTGCGAGTGCAAGCTTCGTGTTCGTTTGAATATATTGAAACAGTATAGCCGAACGGCCATACTCTAAAATATTCGAATGTAATTAGAAAGTATAGCCGTTCGGCTGTACGTTTATAATTTCTATTTATTCAGTCGAGCCTTGCGGCTATAATGGTAAAATATTGTATTTAAAGATGATCGGCTATACTGTTAATATATTGTATTTAGAGAGTATCGCTGCGCGGCTATACTGTTATAATATCTATTTGTCCATGTATTAAAATAAATAAAAGGTGTGATACTAATAATAAGATCCAGGAAATGAATTATTCTTTCTTCATCTGTTTTTCTGCCTGGATCAACGAAAACTGTGGGTGTTCATCATTCTTAAAATGCTCCAGTCCTTCAAACTTGCGAGCAAGTTCAACCTGTTCAACATGTAATAAGTGGTAAATAGTGAAAGCAGAGCATAACACTGCTTACATGATTGACATTGAAGAATTATAAAAAAATAGAAACTAGTTCATCTTGCTATGATAAACCACATTGGTGGTTGCTCTATATGAATTTAAATGTCAAAAAAAGATTTTATCCTTTCAGATTATATTTAATATCGCATCCCTTTCAAATTATACCCACATGGTCTTATAATCCATTTACCTGACACCTTAAGGAACTTCAAAAACTATCCCAATAAGTTCACACATTTCCCAATTGCCACTCACATTGCTAGTATAATTTCGGATGATCGTATTCTGAACTACTCTGCTTAATAGTAACCTATTTCCATGCCCAATGGTAGTGGATATCATGTTATTTGATTCCTTCCACTCCCTAAAGTTAGGGTTCGTGGGAAGTGGCTTGTTACTTGGGCCTTAATTTTTGCTCCCACACTGATAATGTTGCAGAAGCCTCAGGAATATGATTTGATGTGTTAGAAATAGACCAGCTTGACCAAATGAGAATACAGTATGCTGATTACTTGCTGATATGCTCTACGTTTTACTTGTTTGTCAGATTGGGGACCGAAGGTTGATGTTGTTTTTTTTGTTTTCTTGACCTTGCTTCAAATTATGAAGCCCCAGATTCACTTGCGGAGTGGCTTGAAGCTGGTGAACAGCCTGTCTATATTGGATTTGATAGCCTTGTGAGTTTGTTGCAGCTTTCTCTATTCATGTTTAATATTCTTTTCCCGGTTCTATCCCAGAGTAGCTCTATTTGTCCTTACCCTAAAAAAATTACTTGTTCCTTCCCAATTAAAACAATCAACCAAAGCCACAATCTCCAAAGAGTGACCACCTTCATGTTGGTCCCCAATGAACAGGCCGTGGAGGTCTATTCATGACAGATGGCAAATCGACCCTTTGGTTCTTCAGTTGTTCAATATCTAATTTGACTGAGGCATGTCTAACACATGCAGAGTATACTCTGAATTGCATAGTTAAGGTTACTTGATTGTGCATTTGATTGAAATGGTAAATTGTCTTGCTTGCTAAATTTTTTTTTATGTGTATTTTATTAGCCTCTTGAAGAACCAGAGAAAATGACCAATATTATTCTTCAAGCTCTGGAAATAACTGGACAGAGAGGCGTCATCATCCGAGGCTGGGGTGGCCTTGGATCTTAAAAATAGATTACTTTCAAGCACATTGTATTCTTATGCTTCTTTACATCTGAAAGCCTTCATATATTTCTCTTCTCAGTGGCAGAACCAAGTGATTCTGTGTATTTAGTGGACAATTGCCCCCATGATTGGCTATTCCAACGATGCTCTGCTGTGGTTAATTTCAATGCTTTTAATTATTTTAATTTGGTTGGGATTTCACTGCACTGGTGTTCAGAACGTCACATCAACTTGATGCACCTTTTTGTCGTTTTGTTGTTTTGTTCCCTTATTGGATAACTAGGCTACTCCTGGTTTCTTACTGGATTTGAAAAAAATTCTTAGGTGCATCATGGGGTTGCTGGGACAACTGCAGCTGGTCTGAAAGCTGCGGTAACTGATAATGTTATATTCTTGGGGAGTCTTAAATTTGTAAATGATTCAGTTACTCATTTGGCTCATATTCTCTGTTCTTTTTAGTGTCCAACCACAATTGTACCATTCTTTGGGGACCAGCTATTTTGGGGGGGAGAGGGTGCATGCCAGAGGAGTAGGTCCTGCACCCATTCCAGCTGATGAATTCTCACTTGAAAAGTTGGTCGATGCCATAAGCTTCATGTTAGATCCAAAGGTATTTACCATTTTCTTTTTAAACTTCCAAGTGATTTACATATAATTTTCCATTTCTTGACTGTAAACTTATCACACATGCATACGCGCTGATTTAATTGAAGTTGACATTGTTTTGTAATCAATTTCAACATGCAAATACTAGTCACAACTCTGAGGTTATTTTATGTTATTTCAATCCCTTGCGTGGACCTGAATAGATTAAATTAACAAAGAAATAACTATTTTCGGTTGAAAGGTTAAAGAGTGTGCTGTTGAAAATTGCCAAGGCCATGGATGGCCAAGATGAGGTGACAAGAGCAGTGAATGCCTTTCATAGGCACTTTCCTCACAATAAATCTTTGGATAAACCCGAGTCATTGCTGGCTAGAAGAGGCTTATTTTCCATCAGGAGGTGTTTTGGCTACTCCTCCTCCTACACATGATTCTTCACTAGTCCACAACGATGTTTTATTCCTATCATGTGCAAGACATCAGAAATGCGAAATTCTGATATCCTCTTACTAGGTTACGTAACATTACATCGTTTTTGTTTTGCTCGTCAAGCAAATCTTCTACAGATGCCTTTGTTTTCATTATTAGATAATGTCTATTAGGGCCACTTCCGCCAGGACAGTACAAACTGTTATTGGAAGTGTTTTTAGTACATTGAGAAAGATGTGATGCTTTGGTAGGGAGCTTGGAAATTTACAAAGCTGAATGATTCTTCAAGAGACTTAAGAACTATATTTATGGCTTAAAAATAAAGCCGTTGGCCGCTGCACTAAACAAACACAGTTTCTTTCTTAGTCTTGCAACCCTATGCACTTGCCTCTCTCAATTTTAAAGCATTATCTACAAACCAGACATCATCAAGCAGAAGATTAGTAGAAAACTCTAGCCAGATCATTCCCTATTCCGGCAGGTAGAATAGCAACTGGAGGAGGAGACACAAAGTTTTGCTTTTCTATGGTGCGGCACCTTTCTGAATAAATAAAGACCCACGTCCGGTCCTTGTGTTGAGGTCAGCTCAAAAACCTACATGAAACACAAGCACATGCAACAATCAGGCAACAATTTATGATACATCCGAAATAATAATAGAGGAATAGGTTCACCAAACTCCATTGAAATCAACTAAGGAGAGATTAACAGCTTGATGACTATCAGCTGTGCTTTCAGTGGACATACCCCCAGTACGGTTGATTTAAGTCTATTTGGTCAAAGCTATTTATCATTCAAGAAGCATTCAAGCATGGTTAGATTCTGTGAAGAAGCAATCTGAAGAAAAATCCTCTAATTTATCAGAATTTGTGTCAATTTATGTGTCAGCAGTCTCCTTTTGTTATATCAATAATTATTTGGTTCGTCATTCGTATACTCTTCTTGTTATTTAAATTGGTGCAGATGAAGTGAAGCTTTCGTTCTCTAAAGATGACCAAGAGCTGCTGAAACCTCTTCTTGTAAGTTCTTTCATAATAAACCACCCATAATCTTCAAATTCCACCTATAATTTATATTAATATCTTTTTTTGTCTTTGGACAGAGACAATATTGTAACAAGAAGTCAAGTGCAGGCACATAATTGCCAAAAACAAAAAAAAACTTCTGACTTTAGTGTGATTTGAGCTGCAGATTAAACCGCAGATTAAACCATCCAATTCTTATACTCCGATGAGCTTGCGTTGGAAGACTTGCTGGGGCATTTCTGTGGTCTTAAGGGTGACTGCATGTCTGTTCATATTAGTTTTCCTATTTGTGCACACATAATCATCATAACTTGATCTAAGTATTTGATGTTGTGATGGTTTATCCATGCAATTTGGAGCAGTATTTTCTCTGCCTTTTTCCTTTTTTAAGTGAAGATTGTACAAATCTATTAATTTCAGAACCAGGATACATCTTCTGCAATGTAAAATTAAGTACAGTTACATTACAACACAAGGATTCTCACTCAAGCCCATCATCATGTGACAGAGTTGGGAAAAGAGTTGCATTGTACAAAACCAGAAACTACAATGCTAGAGATGACAAACAGAGAGACAAGATTAAAATGATTAATTATTGGAAAAAATAAAACTATGCCACACTAATAAAACTTTTTAAATGGGCTTCGATTTCTTCAAATATATAATAAAATCTTCATATTTCAAAATGAGTATTTCTGTGATTTTAGGGGTGACTGCATGTTATCTTAGTTTTCCTAAGTGCATATACCGTTTTCTTTTTGAAGTGAAGGTTCTGCAAATATATATACTATTTCAGAACAAGGAAACTGGATACTTCCGCAATGTAAAAATAATTACAAAATCTTTCAAGAACACAAGGAAACATCATTTTCTTCTCAGCTAATGATGGTAAACCAAAGAAAATTCATCAGAAACAATACTGCTTTGCTGGACATAATTCTTACTCAGGCCCATCATTCTGTTCCTTCTCAAAAACAAAAAGCAAAGGAGGGTTTCAGAAAATTGTGCCGTTTAGCAATTAAGTGTTGTTAATTCTAAATGGCTGTACCTTTTACAGGATTATATAGACATCATGGAAGGGGCAACTTTATCTGACAGGCAAGCTTCTGCCCATATATGTGATGCTGGGGAAGAGTCGGTGGGATTGCGAAAGAAGCTTGCAGCCCAAGATTCTGGGGATTAAACAAAAGCTGCCAATACTGTTTGAATGGTATAGTCGGACGGCTATCTCTTTTCATATATAGCGTGCGGCTATACACGTTAAATATATTTGAATATTTAATAGTACAGCCGTGCAGCGAAACTCTTTGATTATAATAGTTTAACATTATAGCCGTACGACTATACTCTTTTAATATATTGGAATATTTTAATAGTATCGCCGAGTGGCTATACTCTTTAATACATTTGAATATTTTAATGGTACAACCCCCCGGCTATACTCTTTAAAGATTAAGCAGGTCTATGTTTTTTCCCTTGAGTTTTTCAATTGGGTTGCAGCTCGAAACCCCACTTCACTTACCCTTGAAACACACTCCATGATTCTCCACAGTCTCACCAAATATCGGAGATTGAAATCTGCAGAGTCTATTTTGAGAAAGATTCTTGTCTCAGGTTCGATAGACTTGCCTTCGAAGTTGTTTGAAGCAATACTGTTTTCGTACCGCTTATGTGATTCTTCTCCTCGTGTTTATTATTCTCTTTTCAAGACTTTTGCTCATATGAAGAAATTTAGGAATGCCACAAACACCTTTTGTCAGATGAAGGATTATGGATTCTTCCCAACAGTAGAGTCTTGCAATGCATATCTGAGCTCATTGCTTCGATTACATAGAGCTGATATTGCTTTGGTATTCTATAGAGAAATGCAGCGTTGTAGGATTTCACCGAATGTTTATACTCTTAATATGGTTATATCTGCTTATTGTAAATTGGGAAAGTTAGAGAACGCTGTTGAGGTCCTTGAGAAGATGGAAAGCATGGGTTTTAGTACTATAATTGTATCATATAATACACTGATTGCAGGACACTGCGATAAGGGTCTTTGAGTTCGGCTTTGAAATTCAAAAACTTGATGTTGAAGAATGGATTGTACCCGAATGTGGTTACTTTTAACTCACTTATCGGTGGGTTATGTAAAAGCATGATAAGGAGTGGTTATCATCCTGATGAGCATACTTTTAAAATGCTGATATCTAACTTCTGCAATAACAGGGATTTTGATGGAGCAGTCGAAGTCTTGAAAGAAATGTTTGAGAGATCCATTGCTCTTCATTCAAGCATCTTATCTGATTTATGTCTAGGACTATACAGATGCGGAAACGAGAAAATGTAAAAATTGTTATGCGTTGAGATGGAAGCTAGACGACTTATCCCTCAAGGTTTTGACCCGGCAAAGATTATATCCTCTGGAGTAGTGGAAGAGAACTGAAAATTCGGAAATAACATGTAAAGGTGTACATTGTTTTCCTTGTACCTTTCAAAGAAAAGGTTCTACATTGTTTTGGATAGGGATTTTTGCTCAAGTTGTAAGAGGCCTTTGTTAATTGGTGTACTTAATTTAACTCCCTTTCTCTTGAGGCATGCACTTGAGCTTGTTCCAGATAAATTCACGTAAACAATCCTCTCTTTGTTTTAAACAAGCCCTTAAACATGGTTCCATACGACATAACTGTGGTGGATTGTAAGTCTAATTGAAGAATTAATTAGTGCATCAATGCAAAATAATATCAGCAATGCAATAGACCCATACTAATTTTGGTTAAAAGGTGCCAAATACGCATACAACAAATCAAACGTTCTCATCAGCTTTAAGTAAAATTATCAGCATTACAGTTATATGAAAATGCATGTACAACTGAGAAATATGTATTGCCAAAAGAGATAATACATAAATGTCACAACAAATTTATTATGCTAAGCTCTTCAATAAGAATACAGACCAGATCCACTTTACCGCCCAAGAGACAACGTTGAAGAGCAACCGAGAGTTCAGCTGACAGCTCCTCACCCCCTCTACCCTGTAGAACTGTAACAAAACAACAGCATTACAAAAAGAATAAACACATAGGTCCTACAAAGGAAAAATAGACATTCAACCTTTGCAATGTACACAAACAAGAAAAGTTCAGATTGCCTAATAGGATTATAAGAATAGACAAAAAATGGGCAGAATACGATATTTAGTTCCCTCGTATTTTATCAGAGCATGAATTCCACTAAATCAATAGTTGCACTTTCTACAGGATCTTGCAGAAACCAAGATGTAAACCTCAATTGACAAAGGAAATCAATGATCCGTAGCAAAGAAATTAGATTGGTGATTACAAATTACATATACAGAAATGAAGTATCAGGTTAAGAATGCACATAATAGTGGAGTCAGTCAGCCACTCGAGGGCAACTAAGCACTAACAATTATGTACCTTCTATACTGACCTTGTTTTTATACATTCGTATTACTATAGAATACATGTAAATGAGAATGTATTTTCCATGTCGCATCTTATTTTCTATTTCTCATTTCACATGATTGTGTTTGTGCTCATAGGCAGATACATTATTTCCAAATTGACAAAAGATAGGCTTCATATTACATACCTCTCTGGAGTGCTTCAAATCTGCTTCATGATCTACTGAGCAGTTTTCAGGGGAAGTTTCTTCATAAGAACTGGTATTAGTACAAACAGAATTATTCAATTTGGTTATCAATGAGCAGCTATTTTCCACGGGCAGTGATTTCCTTTGTATATTAGACTCATCCATATCCTTTTTTCTTTTATTCCTTCGGCAGAAAGTAATCAATGGGGAGGTCAACTTGTTTCACCCAAGCTGAATCACCACCTAATTATCTAACTTATTTCTAGAGAATGAATCAGTGTCTTCTAAGTTTGATGTATTCAATCTTGGCGAGCTACCATCACATTCAGAGCTGCTTTTTCTTTCAAATGCTGCTGCTGCTGCTGATGATGATTTTTGTCTTACAAAATCAGCAGTAATTATAGCGGAATTCATCACCAATTGAGAAACTGACCTCCCTCCAACATTATTATCATCAACCAATGCTCCAGCATTAGCATTTGAAGATGAGCCTACTTTCTTGCCACTAGATACTTATTCCCATATGCATCCCTTTGGGAAGGAACCTCATCAAGACTTGTAGGAAATGTTTCAATTGGTATTTGTCTTGTGCCAGATACTTCAATGTGTTTCTTTTCCTTATGGGGCTTATCTAGGCATTGGAGATTATAGGACTGAAGGCATTTTCTACAGTGCTTCAGGTTACCCCCAACACAGCACACAAAACATACATGGCATACCTGCAAGAAAAAGAGGCAGGCGAGACAGAATATGGCAATGACCTTAAAAATAAATTACAGGTCTAAGACAACTAAGAGAAGATCTTCATAGAAACCTAAATTAAAGAACCAAATCTAAATGCTCATCTCAACTAGATACGCTTTCAAGGGTCGGTTGAATAGGGTACATTCTGGTGGTATCTGGTAATCCCTTAAAAAACCTTTTTCTTTTCAGTATTTTTTCAAGAACAAAATTATTAGAGGAAAAATAGGGAAGGATGGATTATTAAATTATCTACATAAAGATGATTTACATACAACATATATCCCTATGAAACAAACTAAAAAAAGTGAACAGGTTCCAACTTTCTAAAATCTCACTGCAGAATTTCTGTTGTAATGTTCTGATGAACGCTTATCAATCAAATGAACTTGCAAGTCTGGTGGTTTGCATAAAGAAGTATCATCGGGAGCAACAAAAAGTGAATTACGGCACTCATGTCCATGTACAGGATCTGTTCTTGATAGCCGCTTTTGCTTATACGTTAGCTGTTGCTTCCTGAAATTTAAGCTTTCAAAAAGAAATCTTGCTGCAATTCCAAACACTTGGACCGCATTTTTCACATGAAGTTTGTATTTATTCCACTATATGTTCAGTCTCATTTCAACACAGAAAAACCTGCATATAGTTAATATAGTTATGAGTAGCAACACAATGATAGCTGAAGGGCAAAAGACGGATTTCGACTACTCTGAAATAGTGAATCACTATTACGAGGAATGCGGCAAACAAAAATTGTACTAACATTCTCCACCTAAAACACAGGCAGTGAGGTACAAGAATAAATGCCATTTGCGTATTAAAGAATAAGCATAGCAAAAGAAGCTAAACGCATGCCATTCACAGAAATGTTTAAACTTCAAAATCAATTCGAATTCAAGTAGCCTAACGCATGCCATTCACAGAACCTTGTTATTGGCAAGACCATAGAAACTCCATGATAGGACAACTTCATCATTTCCTTCCACAGAAGACAGACACCAAGTCAGCAAATTTTGTATTTTTTTCTTCTGCGCCATGTCGTCAGTGCGAAGAGAGAAGAATATAAGACGCGAAACAGGGAGAGGAATGGAATTAGATGAATTAAGAGTCTCAGGATCTCTTCTATGGACCTGACTTGTGCTTCATTGCTTCGGCTTCCCAATCTCAAATTTGCAGCTAAATTTTTTCAATTTCGGGTTTCAGACTTCCGGTCAATCGCAGTGTTCGAAAAGTCGGCCTAGGCGGGCAGCTAGGCAGTGGCTAGGCTGGCGCTAGGCTACTAGGCGGTGGCTAGGCAGGCGCTAGGCGGCTAGGCAGTGGCTAGGAGGGCGCTAGGCGGCTAGGCGGTCGCCAGGCGGGCGCTAGGCGGCTAGGCGGTGGCTAGGCGGCTAGGCGGTGGCTAGGCGGTGGCTAGGCGGCTAAGCGGTGGCCAGGCGGCTAGGTAGTAGCTTGGCGGGCGCCTAGGAGGGTTGGTCTTTTTTCGGTGCCAAACCCGGAGGACGAAGCAGTGACTGCGATAGAAAGTTCCGTCCGCTGCGAGTGCAAGCTTCGTGTTCGTTTGAATATATTGAAAGAGTATAGCCGAACGGCCGTACTCTAAAATATTCGAATGTAATTAGAAAGTATAGCCGTTCGGCTGTACGTTTATAATTTCTATTTATTCAGTCGAGCCTTGCGGCTATAATGGTAAAATATTGTATTTAAAGCTGATCGGCTATACTGTTAATATATTGTATTTAGAGAGTATCGCTGCGCGGCTATACTGTTATAATATCTATTTGTGCATGTATTAAAATAAATAAAAGGTGTGATACTAATAATAAGATCCAGGAAATAAATTATTCTTTCTTCATCTGTTTTTCTGCCTGGATCAACGAAAACTGTGGGTGTTCATGAATTCTTAAAATGCTCCAGTCCTTCAAACTTGCGAGCAAGTTCAACCTGTTCAACATGTAATAAGTGGTAAATAGTGAAAGCAGAGCATAACACTCCTTACATGATTGACATTGAAGAATTATAAAAAAATGAAACTAGTTCATCTTGCTATGATAAACCACATTGGTGGTTGCTCTATAAGAATTTAAATGTCAAAAAAAGATTTTATCCTTTCAGATTATATTTAATATCACATCCCTTTCAAATTATACCCACATGGTTCTTATAATCCATTTACCTGACACCTTAAGGAACTTCAAAAACTATCCCAATAAGTTCACACATTTCCCAATTGCCACTCACATTGCTAGTATAATTTCGGATGATCGTATTCTTAACTACTCTGCTTAATAGTAACCTATTTCCATGCTCAATGGTAGTGGATATCATGTTATTTGATTCCCTCCACTCCCTAAATTTAGGGTTCATGGGAAGTGGCTTGTTACTTGGGCCTTAATTTTTGCTCCCACGCTGATAATGTTGCAGAAGCCTCAGGAATATGATTTGATGTGGTAGAAATAGACCAGCTTGACCAAATGAGAATACAGTATGCTGATTATTTGCTGATATGCTCTACGTTTTACTTGTTTGGCAGATTGGGGACCGAAGGTTGGTCTTGTCCTTTTTTGTTTTCTTGACCTTGCTTCAAATTATGAAGCCCCAGATTCACTTGCGGAGTGGCTTGAAGCTGGAGAACAGCCTGTCTATATTTGATTTGATAGCCTTGTGAGTTTGTTGCAGCTTTCTCTATTCATGTTTAATATTCTTTTCCCGGTTCTATCCCAGAGTAGCTCTGTTTGTCCTTACCCTAAAAAAATTACTTGTTCCTTCCCAATTAAAACAATCAAACAAAGCCACAATCTCCAAAGAGTGACCACCTTCATGTTGGTCCCCAACGAACAGGCCGTGGAGGTCTATTCATGACAGATGGCAAATCGACCCTTTGGTTCTTCAGTTGTTCAATATCTAATTTGACTGAGGCATGTCTAATACATGCAGAGTATACCTCTGAATTGCATAGTTAAGGTTACTTGATTGTGCATTTGATTGAAATGGTAAATTGTCTTGCTTGCTAAATTTTTTTTTATGTGTATTGTATTAGCCTCTTGAAGAACCAGAGAAAATGACCAATATTATTCTTCAAGCTCTGGAAATAACTGGACAGAGAGGCGTCATCAACCGGGGCTGGGGTTGCCTTGGATCTTAAAAAAAGATTACTTTCAAGCACATTGTATTCTTATGCTTCTTTACATCTGAAAGCCTTCATATATTTCTCTTCTCAGTGGCAGAACCAAGTGATTCTGTGTATTTAGTGGACACTTGCCCCCATGATTGGCTATTCCAACGATGCTCTGCTGTGGTAAATTTCAATGCTTTTAATTATTTTTAATTTGGTTGGGATTTCACTGCACTGGTGTTCAGAACGTCACATGAACTTGATGCACCTTTTTGTCGTTTTGTTGTTTTGTTCCCTTATTGGATAACTAGGCTACTCCTGGTTTCTTACTGGATTTGAAAAAAATTCTTAGGTGCATCATGGGGTTGCTGGGACAACTGCAGCTGGTCTGAAAGCTGCGGTAACTGATAATGTTATATTCTTGGGGAGTCTTACATTTGTAAATGATTCAGTTACTCATTTGGCTCATATTCTCTGTTCTTTTTAGTGTCCAACCACAATTGTACCATTCTTTGGGGACCAGCTATTTTGGGGGGAGAGGGTGCATGCCAAAGGAGTAGGTCCTGCACCCATTCCAGCTGATGAATTCTCGCTTGAAAAGTTGGTCGATGCCATAAGCTTCATGTTAGATCCAAAGGTATTTACCATTTTCTTTTTAAACTTCCAAGTGATTTACATATAATTTGCCGTTTCTTGAGTGTAAACTTATCACACATGCATACGCGCTGATTTAATTGAAGTTGATATTGTTTTGTAATCAATTTCAACATGCAAATACTTGTTACAACTCTGGGGTTATTTTATGTTATTTCAATCCCATGCGTGGACCTGAATAGATTAAATTAACAAAGAAATAACTATTTTCGGTTGAAAGGTTAAAGAGTGTGCTGTACAGATGCCTTTGTTTTCATTATTAGATAATGTCTATTAGGGCCACTTCCGCCAGGACAGTACAAACTGTTATTGGAAGTGTTTTTAGTACATTGAGAAAGATGTGATGCTTTGGTAGGGAGCTTGGAAATTTACAAAGCTGAACGATTTTTCAAGAGACTTAAGAACTATATTGATGGCTTAAAAATAAAGCCGTTGGCAGCTGCACTAAAGAAACACAGTTTCTTTCTTAGTCTTGCAACCCTATGCACTTGCCTCTCTCAATTTTAAAGCATTATCTACAAACCAGACATCATCAAGCAGAAGATTAGTAGAAAACTCTAGCCAAATCATTCCCTATTCCGGCAGGAAGAATAGCAACTGGAGGAGGAGACACAAAGTTTTGCTTTTCTATGATGCGGCACCTTTCTGAATAAATAAAGACCCACCTCCGGTCCTTGTGTTGAGGTCAGCTTAAAAACCTACATGAAACACAAGCACATGCAACAATCAAGCAACAATTTATGATACATCCGAAATAATAATAGAGGAATAGGTTCACCAAACTCCATTGAAATCAACTAAGGAGAGATTAACAGCTTAATGACTATCAGCTGTGCTTTCAGTGGACATACCCCCAGTACGGTTGATTTAAGTCTATTTGGTCAAAGCTATTTATCATTCAAGAAGCATTCAAGCATGTTTAGATTCTGTGAAGAAGCAATCTGAAGAAAAATCCCCTAATTTATCAGAATTTGTGTTAATTTTATGTGTCAGCAGTCTCCTTTTGTTATATCAATAATTATTTGGTTCGTCATTCGTATACTCTTCTTGTTATTTAAATTAGTGCAGATGAAGTGAAGCTTTCGTTCTCTAAAGATGACCAAGAGCTGCTGAAACCTCTTCTTGTAAGTTCTTTCATAATAAACCACCCATAATCTTCAAATTCCACCAATAATTATTTGGTTCGTCATTCTGTTCCTGCTCAAAAACAAAAAGCAAAGGAGGGTTTCAGAAAATTGTGCCGTTTAGCAATTAAGTTAGCTGCATGTTTGGAAAATTGAATGCTTTATTGTTTAAGTGTTGTTAATTCTAAATGGCTGTACCTTTTGCAGGATTATATAGACACCATGGAAGGGGCAACTTTATCTGACAGGCAAGCTTCTGCCCATATATGTGATGTTGGGGAAGAGTCGGTGGGATTGCGAAAGAAGCTTGCAGCCCAAGATTCTGGGGAATAAACAAAAGCTGCTAATACTGTTTAAATATTTTCGAAATAAAATAAAATAAATATTCGAATATTTAACGGTATAGCCGGTCGGCTATATCTTGAAATGTATCCGAATATTTTAATATATTCGATTAGTTTAATAGTATAGCCGTGCGGCTATACCCGTTAAATATATTCAAATATTCAATGGTACAGCCGATCGGCTATACTTTTTATATATTCAAATAGTTTAATATTATAGCGTGCGGCTATACACGTTAAATATATTCGAATATTTAAATGTACAGCCGATCGGCTATACCTTGTGGTTATAATAGTTTAATATTATAGCCACACGGCTATACGTTTTAAATATATTGGAATATTTTAATAGTATCGCCGCACGGCTATACTCTTCGAGTGCATTCCAATATTTTAATTGTACAGCCTCGGCTATACTCTTTCAATATAAGAGAATATTTTAATTGTATAGCCGAGCGGTTACTCTTTAAATATATTTGAATATTTACTAGTATAGCCGTTCGGCGATACTGTTTGAATACATTCGAATATTCGATAGTATAGCCGTATTTTAATCGTATACCCGCGCGGCTATACCGTTTAAATATATTTAGTGTAATAGTATAGCCGCGCGGCGATACTCTTTAAATATATTCAAATTCTTTAAATGTATACGAATTGTTAGAGAGAGAGGGGGAGAGAGCTCAGAGCTCAATTTAAGTTGTTGATTCTTAGAAGCTTCAATCTATGGCTTAAGTGTATTTGATTTGGTGGGATTTTTGTTTTGTTTGTAAGAATAAAAGAAAAAGAAACAAACCAACCATCGGGAGACTAGATTTGTTACTAAAATCTATAGAAACTTGAAAGATATAATTGGTATGAGTTTGAAAATTGGATCCCATTCATTCATGCATTAGAAACAAAGGTTTCTTCCCCGCTACATCTATATAAAGTACACCATTGTTCTTCAATCCTACCATGCATCCAATATTGTTTCTCAAGGAAGAGAGAATCAGAAAATTAAATCCCAGAAGTTTCTCTTGGTTCTCGTTGCTGCCATGGCTGTATCTGCCCTTTTATTAACCTCAAGTACTCTTCCTATCTCTCTCACTACTAGTTTTTCCAAATGAAGCTATGGCACCTAACATTTTGCCTTTTTTTCGACTTGGTCGCATGCAATTGATCTTTTTTTCGACTGCAATTGACTGACAGAGTTCTGTTGCAGCCGCTAAAGAAGATAGACAGAGAGATCAACCTTATCATCTTCCTTGTACTTTTTAAATATATAATAAAATCTTCATATTTCAAAATGAGCATTTCTGTGATTTTAGGGTGTTATCTTAGTTTTCCCAAGTGCATATACCGTTTTCTTTTTGAAGTGAAGATTCTGCAAATATATATATTATTTCAGAACAAGGAAACTGGATACTTTTGCAATGTAAAAATAATTACAAAATCTTTCAAGAACACAAGGAAACATCATTTTCTTCTTAGCTAATGGTAAATCAAAGAAAATTTATCAGAAACAAGACTGCTGTGCTGGACATCCCCAAAAAGAATGATAGACAAGTCCGTTCCTGCTCAAAGTTTTCCAGAAAATTGTGCAAGCAATTAAGTTTGTTGCATGTTTTGGAAAATTGAAAACATTGCAATCTGCTATATATCTTGATATAATACATGATCTTAAATAGAAATTAAGTATGCAACTATACGCAGGACCACAATCATCTCCAGTGTCCATGTATCTGCTTTGGTGGGAAATTTTTTTCTTTTTAAAATTTATAGGAAAATTTTCATGACTCCTGAAAGATATAGTTGGTATAAGTTTAAAAGTTGGATCTTATTCATGCATTAGATACAAAAGGTAAAGGAAGTGTGATTCTCATTATTGAATAAACTGTTACAAAGGCCTTTATACACAGCAACTATGCTGAGCTGTCATAACTAATTACAGATGAGAATATATTAGTAAACAGAAAATATAACTAATATAACAGATTAATAACTAGTTACTGTCTTTAGCCTCCCTCAAGCTGAAAGGGGGAGAGCACACTGTAAGCTTGTCACGAAGAAAGACATGTCTGGCAGTAGATAAAGGTTTCGTGAAAATGTCTGCAAGCTGATTTGCAGAGGAAACAAACTGAATTTGTAAGAAGCCGTGTTGAACCAACTCTCTAGTGAAATGATAATCAACTTCGATACGTTTGGTTCTTGCACTAAAGACGGGATTAGAAGCAAGATGAATGGCTGACTGATTATCACACCAAAGAAGAGGAACAGAGGACAGTTGGAAACCAATGTCTTTGAATAATTTGGAAAGATAAATCAGCTCAGCAGCAGTCATGGCAATACCACATATTCAGCTTCAGTGGAACTGCGAGAGACGGTTGGTTGTTTCTTAGCGGACCAAGAGATTAAATGGTGACCAAGATAGATGCACCAGCCACTAGTACACCTCCAATCAATGGGATACCCTGCCCAATCAGCATCTGTGAAAGAGTGTAAACTAAGAGAACCCTTGGTAAACCAAACACCCATATCAAGAGTGCCCTTGAGATAACGAATAATTCGTTTGACAGCACCCAGATGATTAGAGCGAGGCTGACGTAAATGCTGGCAGACTAGATTAACTGCATAGGAGAGGTCTGGCCATGTCCAAGTGAGATACTAAAGAGCTCCAACAGTAGAGCGATAAAAGGTAGCATCAGCAAGAATGTCACCAGAGTTATCCAACTTGTAAGAGCCCAGAGGAGTAGAACAGGGGCTGGCGCCAATAAAATCTGTTTTCTTGAGGAGATCACAGGCATATTTGGTTTGAGAAAGAAAAATACCCTTGCCAGATCGATGAACTTCTAACCCAAGAAAGTAACGTAAAGGACCAAGATCTTTAACAGGAAACTTGGCACTAAGAAGAGAAATAAGAGATCTGCAGGCAGTGTTGCAATTCCCAGTAACTAGGATATCATCGACATAGACCATATTGTGTATCTTTTTATCATCAACCAATGCTCCAGCATTAGCATTTGAAGATGAGCCTACTTTCTTGCCACTAGACTTATTCCCATATACATCCCTTTGGGAAGGAACCTCATCAAGACTTGTCGGAACTGTTTCAATCAGTATTTGTCTTGCGCCAGATACTTCAATGTGTTTCTTTTCCTTATGGGGCTTATCTAGGCATTGGAGATTATAGGACTGAAGGCATTTTCTACAGTGCTTCAGGTTACCCCCAACACAGCACACAAAACATACATGGCATACCTGCAACAAAAATAGGCAGGCGAGACAGTATATAGCAATGACCTTAAAAATAAATTACAGGTCTAAGACAACTAAGAGAAGATCTTCATAGAAACCTAAATGAAAGAACCAAATCTAAATGCTCATCTCAACTAGATACGCTTTCAAGGGTCGGTTGAATAGGGTACATTCTGGTGGTATCTGGTAATCCCTTAAAAAACCTTTTTCTTTTCAGTATTTTTTTCAAGAACAAAATTATTAGAGGAAAAATAGGGAAGGATGGATTATTAAATTATCTACATAAAGATGATTGACATACAACATATATCCCTATGAAACAAACTAAAAAAAGTGAACAGGTTCCAACTTTCTAAAATCTCACCGCAGAATTTCTGTTGTAATGTTAAGATTTCAAAAAGAAATCTTGCTGCAATTCCAAACACTTGGACCGCATTTTTCACATGAAATTTGTATTTATTCCACTATATGTTCAGTCTCATTTCAACACAGAAAAACCTGCATATAGTTAATATAGTTATGAGTAGCAACACAATGATAGCTGAAGGGCAAAAGACGGATTTCGACTACTCTGAAATAGTGAATCACTATTACGGGGACTGCGGCAAACAAAATAGTACTAACATTCTCTACCTAAAACACAGGCAGTGAGGTACAAGCATAAATGCCATTTGCATATTAAAGAATAAGCAAAGCAAGAGAAGATAAACGCATGCCATTCACAGAAATGTTTCAACTTCAGAATCAATTTGAATTCAAGTAGCCTAACGCATGCCATTCACAGAACCTTGTTATTGGCAAGACCATAGAAACTCCATGATAGGACAACTTCATCATTTCTTTCCACAGAAGACAGACACCAAGTCAGCAAATTTTGTATTTTTTTCTTCTGCGCCATGTCGTCAGTGCGAAGAGAGAAGAATATACGGCGCGAAACAGGGAGAGGAATGGAATTAGATGAATTAAGAGTCTCATGATCTCTTCTTCTATGGACCTGACTTGTGCTTCACTGCTTCGGCTTCCCAATCTCAAATTTGCAGCTAAATTTTTTCAATTTCACTTTCAGTCAATCGCAGTGTTCGAAAAGTCGGCCTAGGCGGGCAGCTAGGCGGCTAGGCTGGCGCTAGGCTATTAGGCGGTGACTAGGCGGTGGCTAGGCAGCCGCTAGGAGGGCGCTAGGCGGCTAGGCGGTCGCCAGGCGGGCGCTAGGCGGCTAGGCGGTCGCCAGGCGGGCGCTAGGCGGCTAGGCGGGCGCTAGGCGGGCGCTAGGCGGGCGCTAGGCGGCTAGGTAGTAGCTAGGCGGGCGCCTAGGCGGGTTGGGTCTTTTTTCGGTGCTGAACCCGGAGGACGAAGCAGTGACTGCGAGAGAGAGTTCCGTCCTCTGCGAGAGCAAGCTTCGTGTTCGTTCGAATATATTTAAAGAGTATAGCCGTTCGGCTGTACGTTCAAAATATTCGAATGTAATTAGAACGTATAGCCGTGCGGCTGTACGTTTATAATTTCTGTTTATAGAGTTGAGCCTTGCGGCTATAATGCAAACGTATCATCCAAAGGAAACAAATCATACAAAAGAAGATGGAATATAAACGTATATCAATTTCTAAGCTGTTGTTGCTGTGTCCTTTCGAGAATGAACGAATACCATTGCATGTTAATCTTGCCTGAGTGAGTCAACAACTGGCAGAAAAAATATCAATCAGTTAAATAATCATTCGAATACATACATTACACAAAGGAGAGCCTAAGGAAAAAGAAACCTTCTTGTAGCATATACCATTCTGCAGTTCAATAGGCGGGCTCTCACTAATACATCGGCAATAACTAGAATCTAAAATGTATTTAATAGGCTTCTAAAGTGTATTTATATGTTTCAACACTTGAGCATTGAATATAAAAGTGGCTTGCAATTCGACTAATTTCTGTACAATAGAAGTTGCTACTTTTCTCATCAAAGCGCATCATTTTTGCTTTGTCCAGGGCACGTGCAGCATCTGCTATGTGAGAACTCTTTGCTTTAAACTCAAGGAAGGATGCAATATGCAGAAAGGACGCTCTGATGCCACTTGATGCAGTTCAAGTATGAACTCGCAGAGCTTGTTACTATTTTTTTCCTTGTGGATTTCCTTACTACTCTTCACCTTGTTTCTTACTTGTTTTGCACTTTAAAGTATTCTGATAATCTCGTTGGCTAAAAATGTATGTGAATAATTTCACAATCTACTGTCTACTAGATCCCTCCACTAGTTTATGAATCTTCGAGGTAATTTATTTCATTAAAAAGACTAAAGTCATAATTTCATTTAATATGGAGAAAGAGTACCAGAAGATGCCTTCTGCCATTACTCAGACTTTTTTTTTTTTTTTTTTTTTTCTTGAAGATATGATAGAGATTATTAAATAGACCAGCTTGACCAAATGAGAATACAGTTTGCTGATTATTTGCTGATATGCTCTACGTCTTACTTTTTTCTGACTTTACAGTATACTGATATGCTGATTAAGAAGAAGTCAAGTGCAGGTACATAATTTCAAAAAATAAAAAAACTTCTGACTTAGTGTGATTTGAGCTGCAGATTAAACCATCCAATTCTTATATTCCGATGAGCTTGCGTTGGAAGACTTGCTGGGGCATTTCTGTGGTCTTAGGGTTGACTGCATGTCTGTTCATTTTAGTTTTCCCATTTGTGCACACATAATCATCATAACTTGATCTAAGTATTTGATGTTGTGATGGTTTATCCATGCAATTTGGAGCAGTATTTTCTCTGCCTTTTTCCTTTTTTATGTGAAGATTGTACAAATCTATTAATTTCAGAACAAGGATACATCTTCTGCAATATAAAATTAAGTACAGATACATTACAACACAAGGATTCTCACTACTCAAGCCCATCATCATGTGACAGGGTTGGGAAAAGAGTTGCATTGTACAAAACCCGAAACTACAATGCTAGAGAAGACAAACAGAGAGACAAGATTAAAATGATTAATTATTGGAAAAAATAAAACTATGCCACACTAATAAAACTTTTTAAATGAGCTTCGATTTCTTCGAATATATAATAAAATCTTCATATTTCAAAATGAGTATTTCTGTGATTTTAGGGGTTACTGAGTTAAACAATATGGGTAGAATATTTCAGATGTATTTCATTCTCCGAAAGGAGGTATTTATTAATACAAGGTTACAAACCCTAGTATGGTTATACTAGGAAATAAGAAAAATCCTAATTACATAATATCTATATAAAAAGGAAACAAATAAAATTCTAATAGAATAAGAAAGAAATATCCTAATAAGACTAGGATATCTCGCCAACACTCCCTCTCAAGTTGGAGCAAAGACGTCACGCATGCCCAACTTGTCAAGCGAGTTGTGGACGATACTAGTAGAAACAGCATTTGTAAGGACATCTGCTAACTGATACTCAGAACTGATGAATGGGAAGGAAACAATCTCCGCATCCAACTTTTCTTTAATGAAATTTCGATCAACCTCCACATGCTTTGTACGATCATGTTGTACAGGGTTATGAGCAATTGCACAGTAACTCACATACACCATGGGCCATTCCACGATACTCGGCCTCAGCACTAGATCGAGACACCACCTTTTGTTTCTTGCTTCTCCAAGTAACAAGATTACCACCAACAAACGTAAAATACCCAGACGTAGAACGTCTATAAGTAGCCGAACCTGCCCAATCAGCATCGGTGTATCCTTCCACATCTGTATGACCATACTTGGAAAACATTAACCCTTTGCCATGAGTTACTTTGAGATATCTCAAAATACGCGTCACAGCTGCCATATGATCTTCACTAGGTGCGTGCATAAACTGACTCACCACACTTACTGCATACGCAATGTCAGGACGTGTATGAGCTAAATAAATTAATTTCCCCACAAGCCGTTGATAGCGCTCATTATTAGTAGGAACTTGATCAGGATATAACCCCAACTTGTGATTCTGTTCACTAGGAGTATCAATTGGTTTACAATCCAACATTCCAGTTTCTGCAAGTAAATCCAAAACATACTTCCTTTGGGACAAGAAAATACCATGCTTAGATCTGGCCACTTCAATCCCGAGAAAGTACTTCAAGTCACCTAATGATTTCATCTCAAATTCAGACGCCAGATATTTCTGGAGACTCTGTATTTCTGTCTGATCATCTCCAGTTACAATCATATCATCAACATAAATTATTAAAGCTGTCAATTTACCTTTCCGACGCTTCAAAAACAAAGTATGATCCGAATTACTTTGTACATACCCAGACTTCCTCATAGATGCAGCAAACCTCTCAAACCAAGCTCTTGGAGACTACTTTAATCCATATAAGGATTTCTGTAGTTTGCACACCATACCCTCCTTAGAGGTTACAGGGATACCTGGCGGAGGGTCCATGTATATTTCTTCCTTGAGGTCACCATGAAGGAATGCATTTTTGACATCAAATTGTAACAGAGGCCAATCATGATTAGCAGCCAAGGACAAAAGTACGCGTACAGTATTGAGCTTTGCTACTAGAGCAAAGGTCTCCGTGTAATCCACTCCATAAGTCTGAGTATAACCTTTCGCTACCAACCTTGCCTTGTAACGGTCAATGGAACCATCAGCCTAGTGCTTCAGAGTAAACACCCATCTGCACCCAACTGCCTTTTTTTCCTTTTGGTAAAGGGACTAGCTCCCAAGTGGCATTCTTATTTAAGGCTTCCATCTCAACATGCATTGAATCTACCCATTTTGGATTTGATAAAGCATCCTGCAACTTAGTTGGCACACATACACTAGATAATTGACACAAATATGATGCATATGACTTAGACAGCCGATGAGTTGACACCAAAGAAAATTCATCAGAAACAATACTGCTTTGCTGGACATAATTCTTACTCAGGCCCATCATTCTGTTCCTTCTCAAAAACAAAAAGCAAAGGAGGGTTTCAGAAAATTGTGTCGTTTAGCAATTAAGTGTTGTTAATTCTAAATGGCTGTACCTTTTACAGGATTATATAGACATCATGGAAGGGGCAACTTTATTTGACAGGCAAGCTTCTGCCCATATATGTGATGCGGGGAAGAGTCGGTGGGATTGCGAAAGAAGCTTGCACCCCAAAATTTTGGGGAATAAACAAAAGCTGCCAATACTGTTTAAATGGTATAGTCAGACGGCTATCTCTTTTCATATATAGCGTGCGGCTATACACATTAAATATATTCGAATATTTAATAGTACAGCCGCACAGCGATACTCTTTGATTATAATAGTTTAACATTATAGCCGTACGACTATACTATTTTAATATATTGGAATATTTTAATAGTATCGCCGCGTGGCTATACTCTTTAATACATTTGAAAATTTTAATTACAGCCGCACGGCTATACTCTTTTAATACATTCTAATATTTTAATGGTATAGCCGGTCGGCTATACGCTTCCAATACATTCGAATATTTTAATGGTACCGCCAGGCGGCTATACTCTTTCAATACATTCGAATATTTTAATGGTATAGCCGCCTGGTTATACTCCTTGAATACATTCTGATATTTTAATGGTACCGCCGCGCGGCTATACTCTTGCAATACATTCTACTATTTGAATGGTATAGCCGCCCGGCTATACTCTTAAAAGATTAAGTAGGTCTATGTACTTTCCCTTGAGTTTTTCAATTGGGTTGCAACTCGAAACCCCCACTTCACTTACCCTTGAAACACACTCCATGATTCTCCACAGTCTCACCAAATATCGGAGATTCAATCTGCAGAGTCTATTTTGAGAAAGATTCTTGTCTCAGGTTCGACAGACTTGCCTTCGAAGTTGTTTGAAGCAATACTGTTTTCGTACCGCTTATGTGATTCTTCTCCTCGTGTTTTTTATTCTCTTT